GTCGAGTTTCGAGACGATATTGTCGCGACGCGACGCGAGGCGACGCGAAGCGACCCGACGCGAAGAAACGAACGTCCTTAGCAATGAACCGGTCGAAACGACGCGTGCCTCGAGCAGCGCTGTCTTTTAAATTAACGTGGTCCGCAAGTACAATGAACGTGACCTTAGCACGCCGTTCGTCGCAACGCGCGATCGACTCGAATCGAACCGCGATAAAAGACGAGAGATAGTACGGGACGGGGCGGCACGAGACGAAACGAAAGAAAACGTAGCAACGCAACGCGATAACGTTATCTCGAGGATCGTAAACATCGAGTACCGGCAAGAAAATCGCCGCGACCGAATTATCTTGGCGTCGCCACGCGGATTATCGTTTACGACCCGCGCTACGATGCTCGCGGCAAATTTCTTGCCAACTTTTCACGTTTTCTTGCTACGCTCGAATCGATCGTCGATCGCGCTCGTTCGCGTATTGCGCTTTCTATCGAACGAACGTGCTAGGTAATGAAGGATATTAATGTTCGATAAACACCGCGCAAACGAAGGGAAATCGAATTAAATCGAGATGGCGCGCGCGCGCGTGTGACTTGCAGCGACATTTACTGCCACGGGGACCTGCTGCACACGATACAGATGGCCGCGATCTACAAGGATTCGAAAACGTTCGTCGACATGAAGATGAAGCACCCGCCCAACGAGACGTTGATGCTCTTTCGGGAGTTTATGGAACGACGCGACCATGTGCCGTCCAGACACGAAATCGCGCAATTCGTGAACGACACGTTCGACCCGGAGGGATCCGAGTTCGAGGAGTGGGATCCGGCCGATTGGACTCCGCGACCAAAGTTCCTCGACAAGATTCTCGACGATCAGCTTCGTAAATTCGCCTCCGATTTGAACGATATCTGGAAAATGTTGGGTCGAAAAATGAAAAACGACGTAAAGGTTCACGAGGAACAATACTCTATCATATACGTGCCGAATCCGGTGATCGTTCCCGGCGGTCGGTTTCGAGAGTTCTACTATTGGGACTCTTATTGGATCATCAAAGGTCTCCTACTCTCGGAAATGTACACGACCGTGAAGGGAATGCTAACCAACTTTGCCATGATCGTCGACAAGATCGGTTTCATACCGAACGGAGGCAGAATATATTACGCGATGAGATCTCATCCGCCTCTTTTGATACCGATGGTCGACGAATACCTCAAGACCACTCACGATTACGAATGGCTCGACGAAAACTTTCACCTCTTGGAAAAGGAGTTCGACTTTTGGATGACGAATCGAACGGTCGAGGTCGAACTGGACGGAGTGAAGTATACCCTGGCCAGATACTACGAGGAATCCTCGGGACCGCGACCAGAGTCCTACAAGTAAGCAACTTTTTCGACCTTTTCTTCCTCCGCCTCCTTCTTTTTCTTTTCCCCTCTCTCTCTTTCTCTCTTTCTCTCTTTTTAACGGTCAGCTGTTTTACCAATCAGAGAGGATTATCTGACCAGCCAGAGTTTCCGCACCGCCGAAGAGAAGGACAACTATTACGCGGAGTTAAAGACCGCGGCCGAATCGGGTTGGGACTTTTCCAGTCGATGGTTTATACTCGACGGGACGAACAAAGGTAAAAGTTGTTTGTTTGTTCGCGGGAAGGTATTCGCGAAGGGCCGAGTCGTCTTTTCGAGTTACTTTAGAACAAAGCTCGAGAGAGAAACTGTGTCGGCAATCGTTGCGCGATGCGTCCCGCGTTATCCGCGCGATATCTTTCAAGAGATATCGCGACGTGCCTGTCAAGGCCCCCTAGACCGTCCCGTTTCCCACACGATTAAACCGCCGCGTACTAAATCGTTTCGCGTTCCGAGTTGTCCTACCGCGACTGTCACCGTACGCGCAGATTCGCGCTACCTTTCGTATTCTTTGCGCCCCACCTTCTTCTTCGCGATTCGAACACGAGAACGAGAAAACTCTAAAGAGTTCTTCTTTAGGTAACCTGACCAACTTGAAAACGAGATACATTATCCCCGTCGATCTGAACTCGATAATATATCGAAATGCACAGCTGCTGGCACAGTACAGTTTGAGGATGGGCAACGAGAGCAAGGCCGCGTACTACCGGAAGCGAGCGGAAGAATGGAAGAAAGCGGTGACGGCGGTGCTGTGGCACGACGAAGTCGGTGCCTGGCTCGACTACGACTTACTGAACGACATCAAGAGAGATTACTTTTATCCGACGAACATTCTGCCGCTCTGGACCCAGTGCTACGATCTAGCCAAGAGAGAGGAATACGTGTCGAAGGCGTTGAAATATCTCGAAAAGAATCAAATCATGTTGAATCTCGGTGGTATACCTACGACTCTCGAACACTCGGGTGAACAGTGGGACTACCCGAACGCTTGGCCTCCGTTGCAATACTTCGTGATCGTGTCGTTGAACAAAACCGAAGACCCGTGGGCGCAAAGGCTCGCCTACGAGATCAGTCAACGATGGGTTCGAAGCAACTACAAGGCGTTCAACGAGACGCATAGCATGTTCGAGAAGGTAATCGTCCTCGTCGATTCTCCTTTTTACCTTCGTAAACTAAAACCTAACCGAACGAGACGAGACTCCAACAGCTGATTGACCGAATGAATATGTTCGATTCGTAGTACGACGCGACGGTATCGGGTGGTCACGGAGGCGGTGGCGAGTACGAGGTACAACTGGGTTTCGGTTGGTCCAACGGGCTCGTCATGGACTTGCTGGACAAGTACGGTGACAGGTTGACGGCCGAAGACCATTTCGTGCACGACGATGTCATGCAAAACTCGGCTCCGCAACAAGTAGTCGTTTCGACGGCCGGTCAAGTAATGACCGGTATCCTAGCTCTCATCATATCGTTGGCCGCAGGATTCATAGGGTGAGGTAAGACGACGCGCGAGCAATTTCCTCTATTCGAAACTATCGACCGACCTCTGCGATTCTAACGATAACGCACGCCTCCTCCTCTGCTTTGTGTTTCAGATATCTCCTTCTACTGGTCTAAAGGGGGGAATCCTTTGCCTAAGCCGAGATCGCAACCAAGTATCGTTAGCAAATTCGTCGTGCGCGCGTTCTACGCTTCACACGTTTTCGTGCCTTTATCCATATTCTGCTAGTCGATGCGAAACCGTCGAACGAACGAATCGGGAAACGCGATCGTTTCACACGGACAAATATCCCGAAGTTTCCAAGATCGTACCGATTTCGTTAAAAAGTGACAGAGTATTATCCTTTTTTATCGAAACGGCGGAATATTTGTCGTCGTAGACGATTACGATTTTCAAGAAACGAAGCCACACGGTGATCGCCCGACACGGCATTTGGACGACACCTGTGGCGAACGACGACTCGCGTTTTCCCGATAGTTTCGACGCGCGTATCACCGTCGGTGAAGCAACACCAACTTATGCCGTGATTTTCGTGGGATCTCTTCGCTGGTCGAGGATGCCGACGACGGTGTTACGATCGCTGCGCCAGGTCGCGAAGCTTTTTTAGGGTAACTAGGGAATAACTTGCGTTTCGACAGAAGGTAAAACGTGAACGATGCATCGAGAGCAAGAACCCGAACGGTTACCAAAGTTATCGATGAATGCTCGATTCGAAACCGGCAGGAGAGCGAGAAGTAACGCGACGGCTCGGTTCCCATCCCGTCTAGTCAGATCGACGCGTCCGACGTACGTCGGTTTTACCCTCTACCAAAGAACGAATTACCAAAAGCCGAGAATCTCGTCTCCCGCCTTACTCGTTGTTTTGCCCCTTTTCTTCTCGATTCTTCTCCGATCGAAATCGACCACCGACGATAAAATTCGTAGCCGAGCATCGACGCCGATTCGTGTTCGCGAATCTCTTTCGAATCTTCGTTTGTTCGCCCCGTTTGTCGAAACGCAACGAATAGACGTAGCCGTGTACGAGCGTATTTTTCATTCGCTTCCGAAACGCTGATTCGCCGTTTTAATCAACGTTGCTCGACCGTTGATCGTTCGAGAAAATTTCGATAGCGTAACATAGGACATAACGCAACATAGAATAACTTCGTAGAAGGCGTAACAACGAAAAAGGTGAAAGGTAACGCGTTCCAGTTTGTTTTTGTCGGTCCACGCTACCAGCATGCTTTCCTTTACCTATCGTTTGCCTACTCGTGTGATGACGTTTAAATAAAGTGTACAATATCTAGAAAATTAACCCGTTCCCTATAATTTTAGACGATTCGTCGTTTCCCCTCTTCGCGTTTACTCCTTCAAATATCCTTTCTTATCGGAAGCTGTAGCTTACGGCGTAAAAAGAAAAAATAATCCGTACGAGTTTCGAGAAAGGAACGACGAAAATACGATCATTTTATTCGTTCACCGTATTCTAATTATTCTCGAAATAGACGATTGTTTCTCTTCCTAATTTTCCTGAAATCTTCCTGAAGTTCGCGAGACGCGTTTTCATCGACATCGAAAAACGCGCGCTTCGTTCGTTTTATCATCTTTGTCCCGTTTATCGCGCTAATTGGTTATCCTCGAGCATACGTCCGATCCAATCATGTTCCAGATCAGCTTTACGCGACAATGTAGAACGCGCGTTTCGAGCGTCGCGTTAAAAGCGGAGAACGGAAAACGGTAATCAGAGAAGGTGTTACCGACGCGACGCGACGCGACGCGACGCGACGTGCAGTGCAATGCGGTACGTTGATCGGATTCGTTGGATGCACTATCGTGCAGGCAGGTGGGCGCGTCGTTGAAGCGGAGTTCTCGCGCGCAGTCAATTTCAAGGATGCGCTGGTTACCGGTCGACACGCGTCGCCGCGAAATCCGTAGCTCGATTTTAACGTAAACAACGTAGGAAACGATCCGCGATAAAGATCTCTAACCGAATGTTTTCGATGCGTTCGCAGAATGGTGATGTACAAGAGACGGCACTACTACGTACCTGGTCCGTCCACGATGCCGAACAAGAGGAAAGTGATCGCACCAACCGGCAATCTTTACCGGAAAAGGGTCGCCTATACCGAGCTCAAGGATATGAACAACGATTGACGATAGCTGATTATTTAGAGAGGGCCGATTCGTAGCGCGAAGCGAGCGTAACAGCATCAACGAGGACGAGAAGAGAAGAGCAACCAAAAGTGCCGCGAGCAACCGCGAAACGCGTTCCTTACCGGCCTAGCCGGCAACTAGAAAGGATTAAAGGTGAAAGTGTGTGCGTGCATGCGTGCGGACGTACCAGCGAGTGCGCGCGTGTCAAGTGATCAACGAACAGCCAAGAGAACTCTTCGGAACGCGGCGTTAAAGTAACGATCCTTTCGAGTCGCGATACGCTTCCGCGAACGCGTAGTTGGCGCTGCGCTTTGCACTGCTCTCGAATCGAAAGACGGATCGGAATTTTCGCCTTTGTAGAAGTAACATTTCGTTCGTTCCGTCGGTCGCGCGTTCTCGTTTCTGGCCAGACTCGAGATCGTCGACGACGTTTCCCTACCTCTCAAAAGTCGATCGCGTTTCATTCGGGGAAGGTGAACGCGGTCGCGCGAAGCGCTAACGATCGACAATTTGTCGCGAAATGCCGTTTAATACGCTCGCAGAGCGTTGACCAGATATCCTTTGCACGAACTGGATGGCCATTTGCCCTCGCCCTAAATTCTGCTAAACGATTCGTATGCCCGCTGCGCTGCGGGCTACTGCTCGGTTACGCTCTCTCGAAACGATTTTCGCTAACTAACAGGAGAAAGGAAGGGTATCGATGAACGCGTCCAACCACGGTATACCAACTTACGATCGACGGAGTTTTACTTAGGTTTAAATGATTCATCCTCGAATCGCGATATGTACCGCGTACTTTTAGACGAAGATTAGTCGACGAAAACGTTCTATTTTTCCTGCTATTTTTATAACGAAATCAGTTTAGCTTGCGCATTTTCAATTCACAAATGTTTCGAGGCAAACGAAAATGTAAAGAGAACGACGAATCGAACAAGAGATTCGTAACCGATGCGCCGCACTCCGCACTCTCTAACTCTAAATCTACGATACTTGAATCATTGTGATACTTTTAAATAAGCGGATACGTACGCGTTTCTGTATCCCTCACCAAACTGCTCCTTATTTATCTCGAGCGATTGCTCGCGTTTATACGCGTCGATGGTGCTTTTATCCCGCGATCTGAATTTTATCGACTCGTAGAATCGCCGTCAAAGGTGTCTGGTTACTGGTCTAGTAAATAAAGTTCCAATCGAATCGTGCAGCTTATATTGTAGCGAGATCGACGATCAAACGGAACGCGAAAACGTATCGATCGAACGATATTTATTATGTCGAGGCGTTTTCTCTTCGAGAAGCAGCAGGAATATTGAGATCGATCGATCGATAGATAGATAAATAGATAAATAGACAGATAGATAGATAATGACTGCAACTTTAATAGATACGTGTATTCGGTATACGCATGTACATACGTTATACATATACATACATATAGTATATAAAAAACTATGATACGCTGGCGTGTCATGTGAAAATTTTTAGGAAAAATTGCCCAGCCCGTCTTTTCTCTCTCTTTTCTTTCTTTTTTCTATGTACATACAACGTGTATATCTGCGACTGTAATATTTCAACAAAATGCGCTCGTTTGGTAAATAAAGTGTAAAAGAAAACGAACTGGAGACAACAAGGAAGGGGAAAAGGGTACCTGGTGTCGTTTAATCGAACGTCGAATTCGCTGTAAAATGAACGACAACGTTATCTCGACAGATTACTTGTATTTCTTTAGAATATACCACGTAACAACAAGGAAAAATACTGAATTATACGGGGATACCTTATTTGGTGTATCGCACGAGCGTGAGCTAAATTTAAATTGTTTTGCTGCGCTGTAGAACCTCTTATTTATCGGCAATACAATGTTAATACTTATGATCGGTAAACTAGCACGAACACGTGATTACGTACGTACGACCGCTCGTTTGATGGATATTTTAACTTTCAAGTAAATTAGCCAAACTTGTATCGTTGCTTTGGCATTCTTTCTTTTTTCTTTGCCATCGATCGATCGAGTACGATCAATGCGGTATTAAATTTAGTTCAATTTTCGGAATTTAACCGCGATCTCGTGTCAACGATATACGAAAACAAAATCCACGCTTTCCTTTTCAATATTTTCTGCAACGTACGTCGTTGATTTCGTTCGAACGACGAGAGCTACCTACGGGATCGCCTTGCTTCGTCTATCTGCTATCTGGTACGTCGCGCTCGCGTTCGTTTCGATACACGATATCCATAGTCGTAACTAACCGTTCTCGACCGACGTTCGCGAACTTGATTAAATACCTATCGATTCCACTGCTTTTCGTACAAACGAGCGTTACGCGTTTCCAACTTTAGTAAACGCAATACTAAAGAAAAGTCATCGGCACAAACAAATAGATAAATAGTTAGCGATGAGCAATCGTAGCCGATCAGCTACGAGTGAAGAAAAAAAAAAAGAGGCCGGAAGGGGGAAGACAAATCACGAAGTGTCTCTATATCAGCACTTTGGTGCACGCAAACAAATGTACATATGTATATAAACGCGTTTTTCTTTTCGTACATATTGCGTTATATGTATTTAACGAGTGTGCATGAACCCGTGTATGTTTCTCTTGTTCCTTCTTTTTCAGCCAGTTTTACACCGTTGGGCATCGTTATAAATATAATCGCCGTTCGATGATTTACGTAATCCTACAAATAAATATCTATCACAAAAGACTGGTCTAATAGTAATAATAATATAATAGTAATGGTGGTAGTAGTAATGATGATGATGATAATAATAATAATAATAGTAATAATAACAATAATAATAATAATAATAATGTGGCTTTTGCGGCTTACGGTGATTCCCGATGTCATCGTTTTAGCTCTCTTATTTTCTCTTTAACGACGTTCAATACAAATTATGACGAATGCTTATTCCTAAGTATTTACAAATCGTATGTCACTAGTACTTTCTGGTTTACCCTGCGCTATCGCAGCCATCGTTTCTCTTTTTTAATAATAAATACAACGATGATTCGTGCCTCTTATTTCAACGGTTCTACTTACCATTAATGTTCGCGCGACGCGACAAAATCGGCCAGTTTATAGCAATACCTTGCTACCGACGGTGAACCGACGATCGTTCGGCGCTTTCTTTTTTCGACTCGTCCTTGATACACCTCGATCATTCACCACTAATCATCGTTCGCAGAATGATTTTTCTGAAAAGTTCGTTCGAAAACGAGTTCGTTTGCACAATCACGAACGCGAACTTGAAACACGACGGATCTGTTTTTATACTGCGCAATCATCGTTCTCGCGAACGTGTCGTTCGTGATTCGTGTATCGTAACAACGGAGCTCCAACACTTATCGCTCCAGTTTCTTCTTCGTTCTGCATAGAACACGTAAGTTCTCGACCGACGTTCGCGAACTTGATTAAATACCTATCGATTCCACTGCTTTTCGTACAAACGAGCGTTACGCGTTTCCAACTTTAGTAAACGCAATACTAAAGAAAAGTCATCGGCACAAACAAATAGATAAATAGTTAGCGATGAGCAATCGTAGCCGATCAGCTACGAGTGAAGAAAAAAAAAAAGAGGCCGGAAGGGGGAAGACAAATCACGAAGTGTCTCTATATCAGCACTTTGGTGCACGCAAACAAATGTACATATGTATATAAACGCGTTTTTCTTTTCGTACATATTGCGTTATATGTATTTAACGAGTGTGCATGAACCCGTGTATGTTTCTCTTGTTCCTTCTTTTTCAGCCAGTTTTACACCGTTGGGCATCGTTATAAATATAATCGCCGTTCGATGATTTACGTAATCCTACAAATAAATATCTATCACAAAAGACTGGTCTAATAGTAATAATAATATAATAGTAATGGTGGTAGTAGTAATGATGATGATGATAATAATAATAATAATAGTAATAATAACAATAATAATAATAATAATAATGTGGCTTTTGCGGCTTACGGTGATTCCCGATGTCATCGTTTTAGCTCTCTTATTTTCTCTTTAACGACGTTCAATACAAATTATGACGAATGCTTATTCCTAAGTATTTACAAATCGTATGTCACTAGTACTTTCTGGTTTACCCTGCGCTATCGCAGCCATCGTTTCTCTTTTTTAATAATAAATACAACGATGATTCGTGCCTCTTATTTCAACGGTTCTACTTACCATTAATGTTCGCGCGACGCGACAAAATCGGCCAGTTTATAGCAATACCTTGCTACCGACGGTGAACCGACGATCGTTCGGCGCTTTCTTTTTTCGACTCGTCCTTGATACACCTCGATCATTCACCACTAATCATCGTTCGCAGAATGATTTTTCTGAAAAGTTCGTTCGAAAACGAGTTCGTTTGCACAATCACGAACGCGAACTTGAAACACGACGGATCTGTTTTTATACTGCGCAATCATCGTTCTCGCGAACGTGTCGTTCGTGATTCGTGTATCGTAACAACGGAGCTCCAACACTTATCGCTCCAGTTTCTTCTTCGTTCTGCATAGAACACGTAACGATCTCCTCTGAAACGATAAAGTATATACATATATATATATATATATACACGGGGCAAAGGAATGCGACAAAAACGAAATATTATATTAATATAAACGAAATAAAAGAAACGTGTACGTACCGGGTAAACATAATTGTAACTGATCGCTACTAGGATTGGTACTATCCCCTGTACCGCTATCTTTGCTGTGCTGAGAACTCGTTTCCAAATATAAATGCGTCTGTGTATCTGGAACAGGGGCCGTAACAGCCGTCGACGATTGCGCGTGTCTAGCTTGCGCGACAGCGTTTAAACGTCGTCTAGTTTGATAAATTATAACCACCCATACTATGGACGTACCAACGGCGCAGCATACGACGGTAATTATTATCAAACCTAGTATGTCGTCTTCGTTTACCGAAGCGGGACTAGGTGTAGAGGTCGGAGCTACAGGACGTACAAATTCGTATGAATAATCGATCGATTTATCGTTACGTTTAACGTTAGATTTTTACCTGGTTTCACGGTAAGATGGGACGCGCCAACGACGCTGCCCAACGAATTGCTCATTTCGCATTCGTAACTACCAGCATCGCTAGCTTTGGTATTTACGATTATCAATAATTGATCTTCGGCCGTAAAGAAATGACGTTCCGTAGCTTGTAGAGGACTTCCGTTTTTACGCCAAGAGAGCTTTGGTCTTGGCATACCGCTTGCCATGCATTCCAACACGATCGAACCACCGACCATTATTTCTTTGTTTTCCATCGGTTTCACGAACGACGGTGTTTCTTTGACAAGCGAAAAGAAAGGATATAACATCACGCTAACTTGACTCGTCCAAGTAGGACACCGACGCAAAAGTTCATGACCTATTTACCTAATATGGTAAGAGTAGCATTCGCGACAATAAGGCCGGCAAGATTTTGCGCGGTGCAAGAGTAAACGCCACTATCCGCGGTTTTCACGTCAACGATGAATAACACGTCATCGGTTGGCATCATGTGCATTCTTCTTTCCCTTGCCGCTGGAAAGTTGTTTCCTCCATCTTTTTGCCACGCTATTTGCGGCGACGGTTGCCCCTCCGCCGAACATTCGAGTCGAGCTGTGCTTCCAGCAGTTGCGCGTATATCGTGAGGTATTTTCGAGAACGATGGATAAACTACGAAAAACAAAAACACGACACGATCTGTTATATACCGCAGACACGGTTAATAAATCTTCCTTTACTATACCGTGTACAACCTTTGTCAATCGCGTGTTCGTTGTTCGATAACTCACCCAAAATGTTTATTTTTGCTTTCGCCGAATACGTTGTCCCATACGTGTTCGTAACCATACATTGATATTTTCCAGCGTTCGCATGCGTCACATTCGTCAGATGTAATATGGAAGACGCTTTTGTCACACCACTCTCCGCGGAATCGATGTTTGTTCGCGAATTGGCATTATCCATTTCCACGTTATCGTGCTTCCATGTAAAATGTAGCGGCGCGCTGGCAGTGCTGGTTGCTCGACAAACTAACGTTACGTTACCTCCTTTGATACCCATCTGATTTTTAGGTTCCTCGATAATTCGTGGTTTCGGAAATTCGTCTGTCCCCGTAAAAAGATCGTTATCGATACATTTGTCAAATATTTTCAGCTCGTGTGTAATCTTTCATACATACCGCATGTGAAATTTTCATGATGCACCTGAGTCAACGACATACCCTGTAACCAATGCGGATATCCACAATACACTTCGGCATCGCTGTATCTATGCTCGCGCAACCACATACTTAACCATTGTAGGCCGCAATCGCAAAGCAGCGTTCCTATGTACGCCAAGAGAAATAAATACAAATATATCTCAAACATTTGCGTACTCGCGTTACGCGGTACTTTGGTGCTTTCATACGTACTCGAGTTCATACGAAGTTTAATCAAGCTGGTCATCGACGCGAACGCATTTTCCTGAATGCTTGTTACGTCGTTTCCACTTAAATCTAATTCCGTTACACTACTTAATCCCCTAAATGCATCTTTGTTTACGGATTTTATATCATTGTGCGCCAATCCCAATTTCCACAACTGTCTCAATGGATCGAACACGCCGTTGATATCTTCCACCATGTACGAAATTTTATTGAAATTTAGTTCCCTTTGTATAGAATAAACACGATTATTATCATGAGCGTATCTTATCAGATTCGTGAATACCTTGGCACATGCGTATACGTACAGTATTTGTAAATTAGGGGTTGAACCAAATGCACCATCCGAAATGTACGTAATTTTATTGTGATCCAACTTGAGTTTTTCCAATTTTTCTAAAAATTCAAAAGTATGTCGTGGAATCAAAGCTATTTCGTTGTGCGACAAATCCCTACAAACAGAAACAAAATCACGAATATTATTCGATCGATACCGAGAACAATATCGCATCACGGAGTAGAAGTATTACTAACAATTCTACGATTTCTTTACATTTCTCCCACGCTTGTACCTCGATTGTGCTTATTTGATTGTGCGACAGTGTTAACTTTTGTAAACGTTCTAATCCGAATAGACCACCTGTTCTCACGGTAGTTAACAAGTTGAAGTCAAGTTGTAATATGGTTAAATTTTCAAGAGGCCAAAATGCCCCATCGTCCAAAGATTCGATCTTGTTTCTTTTTAACCGTAACTCTTTAAGATTTCTTAAACCTCGAAGGCTAAGACCTTGGATCGTCTGTAATTCGTTTCTATTTATTTCTCTGCGAACAAACATATTTTTATTCCCTTTGTTCGTGTAAACGTGCATGTATAACAAATATCAACATAATTGCATTTCTTACAAGATGCGCAGTTTTTTTAAATTCGTAAACAAATCCTTCAACTGTGTTAAGTGATTTTTATTTAAGCGTAGTTCCTCCAACGAAGTCAAATTATCCAAACTTCCATTTTCGATTACCCTTATCTCGTTCATATTTAAATTTCTGTAACAAACGAATCAAATTATACCTGTTCTTACAAGAGTTTCAACTTCGATAATATGTTACGAATAGTGACGATAAACTGCGTACAAATGTGTAAGGTGATTGGGAGCAAGAAAGGAGCCATTTCGTACGACGCTTATTTTATTTCCACTGATATCCAAATTTTGAAGACGCCGTAACGTAAGTAAAGCGGTTCCATTTATATCGCTAATCGAATTATGAGCCCTGAAAATAAATTATTATTATTCGTTATTTTTATCCATCGTGTCCGATGAAACTTAAACAATATACTTACAATGCGAGGTGAGTTATGTTTTCTACAAAAACCATGTCTGGCACTCGAGTCAATCGATTCTTATTCACCTTGAGTCCTTGTAACTGCGAAGCTTTTGGTAAAACGATCGTGAAGTTATCTCCAAGTTTATTCGCGCTAAGATCCCTTAAAAAATTTTCAACACAATATTTACAACCGTTGCTGCATCGTGGATCAAAATAATATTATTTTAAGATATACGCACAGTTCTTTGAGCTTTGTTAAATGCAGTAAGGCATCCGGCTCCAAATTAGCTATGTTATTTTCTCTTAATTCCCTGGAAAGCGAATAAACATTTTTAACATACAATCATTATCTACTTTATCGATATTGTTGTCCGACATAGTATTCTTAACATTTTTAATGTCTACGAACACAACTAATTAGAACATGTATGACCTCGAAACATTAAAGGTAACGTTTCTTTCATTTAAATCTTGATCTCCTTGACCATAAATACTATACAACAGTCCCATTTATATCCACGTTACCATGTACGGTAAAGCGTTCCTCTTGTCGTGTTTGGAAAAAAAGTACTAGTTAAAAGAATCATTATTGAACTGTTTGTAATAATCAATCGAATCTTTACCCAGATTAAAAGCATCCATAGAAACAACCTCATGAAGGTGTTTAAAAAATATTGCTTACATTTTGTTTATCAAAAGGAATATTGTTATCATGTATATTAACGTTTCTGTTACAAATTCTCGTCTATTATCTTATCTTGTTAGATCACGTTACAACGAATATGCGTAGCTTTCAACTTCAAGTTTTAACGATACCGAATTTAATGCAACATTGTACGATCATATAAATTATAAATGAATGCTATAATCTATAACCGCGAATTGTTAAAATACTAAGTAATTGACATTGAGGAGTAAAAATTAACATCGATATACGATCAGAGTTTCGAACAGATTCGAACGAATTCAAAGAAACGAGTCGTATCGAATTGAATCTAGTTTGAATCGAATCACAAAGACAGCAAAGCACTGTCACGATATACTTACGTTCTTGATAAGATAACGAATAACGAATAACGAGTGATTATTTACTCACAAGATCTCTGTCCATGGTGGTAGTCCGCTGGGTGCTCCGATCAATTGTAAGTTACTGCAGTCTACCACATTACCAAGGCACCCGCACTCGACAGGACACTGATTATCTTTCGTACCATACGATAGATTGTCGGCTTTTACAACGTTTAATGGAATTACACACAATATCGATAAAACAACGGTCCATTTGCATTTCCATACAAGCCGACGTACAAGAAAAACTTGTTCGGAATCCGACATCGTATGCACTGTCCTATCGTTCCGTTTAAAACTTATTTCGTAATTGTACGTTACGTATCGATGGGATTCTCCATAACGATTTGCAGGACAACAGCGAAACTTTCCGTAAAAACATCACTATAAACACTAAAAATGTTCACGTATTAACGATTAAAAACAAACTCATCTCTCAAAAAACGCTTCGACCCACACACCATGATGACGCCTACAAACCGATGCGAGACTCCCTCACCGATTGCGCGAGGCTATCTCTCTTTCTCCTTCTCACTCTCTCTCTCTCTCTCTCTCTCTCTATTTACAACGTTCCAACCTCCGTGACACTAGGATTTATAATTTTCTGGCTAGTGACAATTTTTTATTACTAACCTACCCTTCATTCGAATAGATTGAAATAGAAACATTATACTAGTTTAAATTACAAATTAATTTAACTTTCTAATTATAAGTTTATAAGAGAATATTTCGGAAAATGAAAAATAAATCGCTTATCAACTGTTTATATGCGTGTATATATATATATACACACATATTTTATTTGACATTTTGTATATTTTCACAGAACAGTACCATTATTCAACAATATAAAAATAATGTAGCTATCATACGTTCTTTTATTTGTTCTCAGGCACTATTTTAGCAAATAATTATTATTTACATTGTATGTAATTTTCGTCGACAATAAAGGGAAGAAAGGTATTATTAAAAATCTCATTGGTTGTTACTAAATATTTATATTTGTATTAAATCACTATATATGTATATTTGTATTTTGTCAATAAATCACTATTTCACAGCATCATTTTTCCCTTTAAACAAATCAGTAATATTATACATGAAGCTTTCGTAAAACATTAAAATACTTCCAATCTCACAGAAAATATTATACACTCCTTATACGAAATCCATCAAATAGTTTAATCCGTACCAACGATGTATAGTGAAAAACAACGATAATAGTTACTGACTAATTATTTCAATTACCAGGAGAGTTGTATTTACGAACCCTACGTCCACGTGAAAATTTAAACTCTACACACGATTGTATCGTATCGGAGGCTGATCTTAAACCATTACAGAGATTCCCTTTTATCAGACTTAATCATATTAAAATTCAGTATTAGAATTAGAGGCAAGTCGAAGATGCACATCCGTCTTTGAATATTTTTACAAAAATAAAGATCGAGTCTCTCACGCGTAGGTATTTATCGCGATAAATAATCGTTACTAATAGTAAGATCAATGATTAAAGATTAACATAAGATAAGTCTAATAAATCCATAGAATTAGTGACTGTAATAATCGCATCGTTGCTGCTTACAACGTGAAGCGCTAACAATGCAGCATATATATATATATATATATAAATGTTTTGTGTGTGTGTGCGCGCGCGCGCGCGCGCATGTGTGTGTGTGTATAATGTTTATCGTGTTTACACGTATCCTGCTAAAACTCAAATGATGTTGGTAAATGTTCAATAATATAAATACATCATATTATATATAAAAGAAATATTCATACAACATTTGGTAAAAAAAAAAAAACACATAAATGTAAAAATATGATTAGAAACTGAAACAGCCCATTGCTTTTTCGTATGAAATGATTCAGACAGAAAAAGATGTTAGTATCGTTGTTTTACAACCTTTTAAATTATACGTCGAGAAGAATTGTATCTTAGTGTACAGAGAAAGATTAGCCGTTAAACGATTAAACGGGAGACAATGTATCGAAAAATAAGAAAATTGATTTGGTAAATTACAAGATATAATCTGAAAATACATTTCCGATATTTGGAAACATGAAACGGTTGCAACTATATAGTTAAAAATATACATAGCATGATACTCCGTAATACATGATATTGCTCATGATATTCGCGATGCGTACAGTCGTCTATCGTCATTCGACAAAACCACCAAAGCCAAGTTGATATTATTTTATTGAACTTAAAATATGTTTAGCAACGCGTTGTTATATGGCTCGATCGCTCTGTTTATTTGAGCATAAAACAAAATATCTTCGCTAGCTGTACGAAAGAGAAAAGCTACTTTAGATTTCGCGGAAAAACTAATCGCGCTATAACCATCCCTTTTTGATCATAAATACACCTTATTCGTTACCGACGAGTCGTGCGCAGAATATTACCCTGTAAGAGGGAACGACTTATGCCGAAGACATTTGAAATTTTGTACGATACAAGTATTATTATTACTCAGCCCGCGAGCGAATACGTTGAATACAATGGCAAATACGATTGGCCGTTAACGACAGAAGGCCCCTTTGCTAGTTAGAAGCCATTATATTATGCAATAATAAAATTAACAATTCGGTCCAGTGGCTCTGCATAGCGCAATAATATAGTTTGATTACCGATTAGCTACTCCAGTTTCCATGTTTACGGCGTTAAGTGGTAGGGTGGTACGAACTAATTAATGCTGCGTCTACCGGTTCCATACACGAAGGGCATGTCAAAGAACGTAGCAACCAATCATCGATGCACACAGCATGATAAGTATGCATACAAGGTAAATAACGCACTTCTTCTCCCGCTTGGAGCTCCATCATACAAATTACACACTCTCCTTTCTTCGATCCATCGTATTCTCTCATAGGTAAATGCTGTATAAGTCCTATACGTTTGGCGATTCTTACTCGTTGTTCTTCTTCGCTCAGCGTGCCGGATCCACCGGATGGTCCTAAATTAACACCAACCCCGATTCCACGAGCGACGCTTAAATTCATGGACTGCAAATGAAGTTCTCTGGTAACGATCGATGGATAATAAGAGCCCACTACTTCCTGTAGAGTCGAAAAGAACTTGGGATTATTTTTAGTCGCAGAATAATTGTCGTTTCGACAATGTTTCGAAAATGAAAATTTGTAGGGCCATAGAACTAAATAAATTGAGAAAAATAAATTTATATGCCGTACCGGTTAAAAATGTTGACGTTGTTGAAAAAATAAAAACGGAACGAAGAAAACCGAAGAGATACATATTATCGAGGATCAGCGCGTACATATACATATAAATACGGTACAGGTATGAGAGTACGGTTAAAGAAACGAGCGATAAAAAAATGAAATTACATTGTACGGTATCGGAGGTCCAAGGCCTTCTTGCGAAGATCCGCTAGTCAACGTAGGGTCAGGATTGTTACTCAACAAAGTGGTATTGTCCTGTTGATTGCTTCCAACGCGTTTCAAACAATTTCCCATTTTGATGGAACGTCAACTTTGATCGATCGTATACGGAACAGCGTGTTTCGGTTCTTTGATCCCAGCGTCGATTAAACGATCGCGATAATTTTGACGTGGGATATTTCGAGCTCTGTCCCCATCGTAAATTGCTCGTTTTCCCGTCGAAGTTCGCGTTATAAGACCCGTTTCGATCTTCAAACGGATGACAGTTCGTGTCTTGGCTAAAAATTTTGTGCGCGAATCTCTATCGTTGAAACATTTTCCGTCACATATCCGTATCCTACAGCTGAGTATCCTATGCATCCAACTAGATGCAATTAAAAAAAAAAAAACACAGGCCAGTTACTCACAGGTTGTGAAAAAACACTTTTCACATCCCTTGCGCGACTTTCTTCGAACGTTTAGTACACACCGTCGCTTTCGTCTTGCTGCACGAACGAACTTTGCCGCGATTCGTCGTTGCAGCATATTGCATTTTCCACCGTCCAATCACCGAAAAACGAATCCATGTAATACACAAAGAGTTTGCAGAAGCATCACGATTTACGCTCCGTTCAAAAAACATTCGACAACTAACCTACGATTGGTGGTTCGTCCAAGATTGGCCAAACTTGTCGCGAAACAATGTTCATGCCGTGCTTTCGATTCAAACGTCGCGTCGCGTTGCTTCGATACTCGAAGCGATTCCACGAACAATTGCCAACAAATATACCTATTTTTCTGTACGAAGCATCGATCATGATCGTTCGAGATGCTCGAAATACTTTTAAAACTTTTCGCTCGTGAAATCCGAATAACTGTTCGAAAAAGTGTTGCTTATAAAAGCACTACTGTGAATACTCACGTAACCGGAATGAAATATTAAACGTTCGCGTTATCGTTTACGATAGCTTTCTTAGAAATAAACATTAGTAAACTTTTACGACAACTCGATATTTCTATACATATATATTTGTTAGTTTAGACGATGATCTATGCCTCGTCGCGCAGAAAAATTTGTTCACGTTGTAATCATAAGTTTTGACCTTTGTCCGATATCTTACGAATATACATATCGAAACAAGCACATTTTCCATGATTTTGAACGCTTATCGATCGCGATCCATAATACAGCTATAAACATAAATACACCCGCGTATAAATGATATTTTCGCATTGGTTCTTTGTTACGAGGTATTCATTGTAGGAAAATAAAACGATTATTAAATGAAATTTTTATTAGAAGAATCGATACGCGACTCGATAAATGATCGAAAAGATTTTGAAGGGAAAGCCACCCGGAAGAAAGGAGGACGACATTCATGGAACGAACGAAAATAAAGAAAGGATTGATCGATGAATCGATTGGTAGAATATATACATACATATGTATATACATAGGACATACGTAGAATGGAAAGCTTTCGTTTATTAATCGATCGAAAGGAAATCTTCGGTGCATTGTTCGAAATCGGCGCAAGATCGTTAGATGGACGAGAAACGTTGCTTCCCCTATTATCTTATCGCGTGGTGACCTGCAACCTCGTGCAAACACGAAAAACAAGAAGACCTTTGGCACCGATCGTCTTCCCCCTAGAAAGAGGAGAGTAGCGTAGTCGGTTCGACGTCGTAGTCCATTCGGTCGTCGAGCTTGGTCGGGGCAGGAAGCACTTACTTAACCGATATATCGTTAAGTAAGCCCCAGTCCCCTTTCTGGGTTCGATCTTTCCGCTCGATCAGCGATCTCCTCTTTACTGGTTCATATACCATCGCGATTATTCGCACGATACCTACACCAGGAACATCGCGTCGCGTCGTTGGGAATTCTTAGTGCTCGATTTCTTCGAATCGGCCGTAATTGTTCGCGCTGGAAGATCATTTACGAGTTTTTCGTTTCGCTGAAAGTACGAGTAAGAGAGAAAAATTATTGTTAAATTTCGTGAAAGTTCAACAAGTTTGTTCTTTTCTTTGAAAACAGTTTAATCGTTTCAGTTCCATATTTGGCAATATTTGGTGGTGCAGTGTACGGTGGCGCGGAGTGCTGGTCGCGCAACGCACAGAAGCAGGTAGCGTCGACGTAAAAAGCGATACAGAGTAGTCAATGTCCGATACCGACAAAGGGATGAAGGGCACATCGATGCAGGGATAATTAACGATACAGGGATCGAATAGTGTCAGTTTCGAAGGAGCAAGATGGACCGGGATCGTGGATCGTGGAACCGTACCGCGATCTTTGTCGCAACGATCTGCATCATCGTCGTCATCGGAACCGTACAATCTGGTAACGCAGATTTTTCTTTCTCCTACGTTCTCGTTTCAACGACTACGGGAAAATGGCTTGTTTAAAATCTATCGTTTAGTTAACATAATTGAAGAATTGCTTGTCGTTCGATTATCTGTTGCGCGTGTTAGTGAACTCTGTTAATTCCAAGAATAGGTATCGTTAAACGATACATAGGACGATTCGAGTGGTGCGTATCTGTGTCTGGTTATCTGTAAAGCGTAACCCTGTAACCGCTAGTTTAGTGTAAATATTCGGCTGTATTAATCGGATCGTTGACGTCTCGTTTCAGAAGTGGTAAACGATCCAGCGCTATGTGCCCGGAGAAGATGCAAAGGTGAGCGCGTTTACGATTCGATGAACAAAATTTTCGAGACGTTTTTATGTTCTTTTTATGTTCTTTTTATGTTCTTTTTATAGTGGCACCGAACAGAAAGTTCAAGTACGAGGAAAACGTTTGGTACTGGTACAGATATTCCGTGGACGTGAGCACGAATCTAGGAGGCGACAATTCGACCGAACATCCGTTAAAAGAGTCGACGTTGCGGTTAGACGCGGATTTAGCGTTGCGATTCAGCAGTCCCTGCGAGGGTAGCTTGAAGTTTCGCAACGCGAGCATCAGCCACGATCCGCGAAAGTACAACCCCGAATTCCCGGATCGTGCAGGCGCGGAATTCAAAACGCATCTGGAACGTTTCGCGTTGAGGTTCGCGTTCGACGACGGCCGAGTGGACGAATTATGCCCCGACAAACGGGATCCGATCTGGGCGTTGAACTTGAAGAGGGGCGTGTTGTCGATGCTTCAGAACACGATGCAGAGATTCGACATGGATCATCGGACGGACGAATTGGACGTGAACGGTATCTGCGAGACGACTTATCGTCTGCGCGAGGCGAAACGCACCAGCTTGGTATTAAGAAAATCGAAACATTTGTCCAACTGCGTTCACGGATCGAAACACTTCTCCGTCGTTCGTTCGAACGCGTACACCAGTCCTCGATCCAGAACTGCTCGATCCAGGCATCATCCTCTTCTCGACTCTCGAAGCGATTGCGAATTGACCGTCGATCGCAACGTGTACGAGAAGGTCGAATGCAAGGAGCAGCATCGTTTGCAACCGCTCTCGAGCGGTAATACGGGCGCGAGAACCGAATCGACCTCCGTTCTTCGGTTGATTCGGAAATCCGAAGACGATTACTCGCAGGAGTACGAGGAAACCGAGGAGAACGAGCACGAAGAGAACAAGTACGAGCAAGGAGCGGATCGCACGAGAAGAAGCAATCTATTGTACGATTACGCGAGAACAGCGAAAACCGTGCACGGAGAATTAAGAACTTCCAGAGACCTGTTGAAAACGATGTGCAGGCTAGGGGTGAGCACGAACGAGCTGCAACAGCGATTCTCCGAAACGTTCACCGCTTTCGTTCATTCGGCTCGCCTTCTCGACTACCCTTCCTTGTCGCAGCTCTTCGTCAGAGCCAATAGCATCTGCAAAACCGGCAAGTGAGTACCCACGAGTTTTTAACGCGACAGTTAAAAAAGTTACAGTTTTTAATCCGTCTTCTCGTAGGAAACATATCATGGACGCTCTGCCGTTTATGGGAAGCAACGCTGCCGTGAACGTAATGCGAGATTTGATAATGAAACGATACGTCGATCAGGCCACGATCGAGAAGTGGATTACGGCGTTCGCGTTGATCCCCCGACCGAATCAGGACACGATCAGGATTCTGTCGCCTCTGTTGGAGTTTCAGCGCCAAATACCGGAAGCTCAATTCGTTCTCAGTTATTCCGCGACGATTTACGCTTTCTGCTCGAATCACGAGACGCGGTGCAACAACGTCGACCAGGTGTCACGATTCCTTTCGTACCTCGAGCAGAGACTCGAGAAAGGTTGCGCGGCTCGAACGCATTCTCTTTCGACGGTTAAAGAGGTAAACGGTATTTTCATCTTTCTCTCGTACGCGCGCAAACGAAATTATTCCTCGTTATTCGTTCGTTTTCTTCTAGACGCTGGAAGCTCTGAAAGCGATCGGAAACATGGGTTTGGAAACGGACGGTTTGTCGAACCGGTTACAAGAGTGCATAGAGGACGCGGGAGGATTCTTACCGATGGAAGTTCGCGTGGCGAGCATCGACGCCCATCGTAGAATGCCGTCTTGCGAGAAAACGCGTGATCTCTATTTCCTAAATTACTATCGGAACTTTAGCCTGGACACGGAAATACGTATCGCGTCTTATTTACAAGCGATGCGCTGTCCCGATTACAACGTTATTAAAACGATCAAACACACTTTGAAATTGGAAGAAATCAATCAAGGTATTCGAAGCGTCGCTAACCGAGAACATTCGTTCTCCTGCTGCTCGTTTTATCGCGATTCGCCGCAATTCGTTTAATCGTCGATCTGTCCACAGTCGGAACGTTCGTTTGGAGCCACCTGACCAATCTCTACGAATCCGCTTCGCCGACCAACATCGAGATTCAGAGCCTTCTCACCGACAGAGATCTGGACGATAAGTTTAACAAAGATCGAAGAAAATTTTCACGAAACTATGACGGGTCTTTCTTTTCGGAGGAGTATAATTTTGGCGGCAATTATCAAGGAAATCTAATCTTTTCAAGCAAGTCGTACATACCGCGTACCGCGTCGTTCAATCTGACCTTCGATCTTTTCGGCGAATCCGTGAACGTTTTCGAGCTCACCACGAGACTCGAGGGTCTCGAATATTACGCGGAAAAGTTCTTCGGTCCGGACGGGCCGTACAACAACGAGAAAATGTCCGATTATTTTAAGACGCTTCTCAGGAGTTTCAGAGCAGCCCCTGAAGAGGACGATTACTGGAAACGCGTGAAACGACTACCGAACGTGATCGACAACAACTTTGACCAACCAAGGATCAGTGTTGGTTACAAGGTAAGCGATTATTTCGGAAGCGCCGAAAACGAGAAGATAAGGGGAAAGAGGAATGAAAAAGCGCTTTGCTTTCATCGTCAGATATTCGGGAACGATCTAAAGTATTCGATGCTGAACGGCGATCGAGAAATTAGAGAAGCTCTGACACGTTTCAATCCGTTGGAGAAATTCAAGGAAATCACTTCTGGAAAAGAAATTCAATACGAAAACACGCTGATGTTTCTCGATTTGACTTACGTGGTGCCGATGACGTCTGGGCTACCGGTGCGGTTGGATTTCGCTGGGTCGGCGGCGTGGGATTTCAAGATGTCGGGATTACTGAACGCCAAGCCAATAACCAGCAAAGAGATCGAACTTGTCAGCAATATTGCACCTAGGTACGATTAATATTTTTTTAAGATTCTTACTTTTCTCGTTGCATTCGATATCGGGTAAGAAACGACAACCGATACGAAATATAACAGCCAATCGCGTTTGCGTGTACGAGCAGCATGAGCGTCGACGCGATCGGCAGCATGACCGTGGATGCCTTCTACAAAACTGCTGGAACGAAACTACGAACAAACGTGTATTCGTCCGGGGCGGTAGAAATTCGCTTGGATGTAAAAGGGTTACGCTCGATCCGATTGAGTTTGGGCCTACCAAATAAAAAGATGGAGGTGTTCTCGATCGGTACGGATATCCTTTTAACCAAAGGCAACGGAGCGGAATTGGAGGAGAAACCGATCGGCGTTTTGATCACCGGTCAAAACCACGATGACAGACGTTCACCGCGGCCAGCAACGCCGATTCTTCGGAGCACCGTTATCAGCAATACCAGCTGTACCTGGGGCGCTCTCGATAGACTCGTGGGCTTAAAATTGTGTCTCGATTATCAGCTATCGAACGTAACGAAAGATTCGAACGCACCGTATTTCCTCCTAAGCGGTCCTACGCTTTTCAAAGTTTCCATGATCAAAGCCGATCCCACCGCCAAACACTATTTGTTCGAATACAAGTGGGAAAAAACAAAGGTATCGTTTCCTTTTCGCTTAAGGTATCTTATTTTCGCTAACAACTCGTCACGCGATCTCACATTCTTTCGTTACAGGAAGAAAATCTTTTCAAAGTCGCTTTCGATACACCGGGATCACAGGTGAACAGAGAATTGAGCGCGACCGTTTCCTTCGACGTTCAAACTCACAACGTAACAGTCCTGTTACGATCTGCCGGCAACTCTATAGTGGCAGAAGGTATACGAACACATCGTTTCTTCGTTGTTAAACTAAATTATATTTAATTACTACGTACGTCGTAAGCGGAGAATTTGTTTCTTCTTTTTTCCAGGCACATATAAAAGCACGGAGAACGAAACGTTCGTGGACATAGGTTTCGACGTAAACGGCACCAAACATTTGGACGCTAGCTTCGGTTACGCGACCAAAAAGTTTCAGTATGGTTACACGTACAGTCCGCAGATGCACGTGATCGTGAACAACGAACGGATCGTCGCGCTTTCAGGTACACGCATGTTCCTTCGATTCTTCCGTTAAAGCGACTTACCGATTTCTGATCGGCACCGATCGATTATAATAATAATTCCTTTATTAACGACCGATTGAATTTTAACGAAGGTACGATAAGAAGCGCCTGGAAGAACAACGTGTCCCAATGCGACATAGATTTAACCTTTCGAACGAAAAAAGTCTGGAGTAAACTGGTAGGTTACATCGTCCGCAGAAACGTAAGCTTGGCCGGCGATTTTCAATTGAAGTACCAGTTGCACAACATGCCTAAGAAGGAAACGCTTCAATTGGAGGTGTTGTTCTCGAATCGTTCTTCGAAAACGTTGACGCACAAGACGGCCGATTTAAAGTTACGCTCCACCGCGTATCCCCAATTGAACACCGTGATAATCGCCTGGTATCAGCAAGCGTTGGGTCACTTGGAATTGCACGCCGAAGTAAATTCCAGTCCGCATCTGATGGACGATCGTCACAAGCTTACCGCCAAATTGATACTCTCGTATTCGAAGATGTACTTTCAGAATCACGACACGAAGGTAAGCGCGTTGATCGCCGTAACAAAACCGATTCAAAATTTGGACATCAAGGTCGGAATCAGCCACTACGCGATGGGCCCGGAAACGAAGACTAGCTTGTTGATCGGATACGCTCCAGGTTGGTAGATCTCTCTCTCTCTCTCTCTCTCATTATCTCGTCATTAGATGTCTAATCTGTTGGTCGATTCGTTCTCTGTTCAGGAAAAGAAATCGTTTTAACGGTGAATCTGATAATGCCGCGAGGTTTGACGTTCGCGATGGAGGGTCACGCGAACCTGACGATCCCGAACTTCAACTCGATGCTACTGGACGCTCGAATCACGGAAAGATCGAAGCGCACTTACGAATTAGATTTCACGGGAACTTGGTTTAGCGGACACAATCTGACAGCTCGTGGCACTTATTCGGATAGATCGGTCGCGACCGTCGTCAGTCACAGTTTGAAGCTAATTCTGAAATCTCCGAGTTTCGTCAACGACGTTTTAGTGAATTGTAAGTTCTACCGCAATTACAGCGACGTCAGAATCGGTCTGTACGCGGAGCAAGTGGATCACGATCGATACGCGTTCATCTTGAATCACACGGTACTGTCACCGACCGATTTCACGACCTACGTCGAAGGAAGATACAAAGGCAACGTGTATTCGGTGATGACCGACGTGAACGTGGAACGAGAAGTTCGGATGGAGATACATTTGGACAAGTGGAGAGACGTACATCTGGCGCTGATCGGCTACAACGAAGAGAACCGAAAGGAATTCGGAGCGGAGGTGAAATGGGACGCGAATCGGGATCCCGCGTTGAAACTGGCCGTACTGTTCACGATGGACAAAACGGTTCGCCCGGCTCTCTCGGACGAACGACCGGCCGAGAAGAATCTGTCCGCGATCGTCACCTTTACTTACCCCGGTCGTTTAATAGCCGCCTCGTGTCGCGTGACGACTCGCGGATATTACGATTACGCGGTCGACGCTGCGATCGATTGGAATCCGGAGGACGCGATAGGGCTATTCGTCGCGACCAAATACAACGCGAAAGCATGGACGAAATTGATGAGCGTGGAGTCTCGACTGACAACGCCGTTCGAGAATTGGAAGAAAACGGCTCTAAGCGCCAAGTAATCCGCTCGTTTATTCTCGTCGATTATCGATTCGACCGATCGAAAATTAATCGAACGCTTTAATCGTGTTACAGGTATCTGCAGGATGAAAACTGGGTGAAGTTGAGCGGTAGCGCTAATTGGAAGGATTCGCAATGGTTGATCGCGGAATTGGAGGGTAGCGCGAAACGACGCGAGAAAATTCGTGAATGGAAAGCGAATTGCGGAATAACCAGTACCGTGCGTTCCGTCTCCTCGGTCGTCTTCAATGTCACCCATCGCCTGCTCGATTCGCAAATGGCGGATACTCGTTTACTGGTCAAATACAATCCGGACAAAGTGATCGACGCTTGGAGCATTTGGTACCTGGACAAGGAGTCGGACAACGTTTTCAACTTGACCGGTAATCTGCATCTCGAATCACCGGTAACCAGTTACAGAAGAAGCGATATGAAATGTCAGCTACAGATCTTACCGGATTGGAAATTCTTGGGAGCGGCCAATTTCGATCTCGACAAGAGAACTTACACGGCTAAATTGATCGGCGATATTCGACGTTTCAAGGAATCCATGGTTCAGTTCAACATTACCACCCCTTTAGAGAAATTCTCTTTCGTTCGCGGACGATTCGGTTTGTCGGAGAAAGAGAGACACGCGGTTGCCGAGGTGGTCACACCGACCGGCCCTCTGGGTTTCGAAGCGCTCTGCCAGTTCTTCACGCCAGACTACGATTTCAACGTTCGATTGTCGCTCGCGACGCCGATAGAAGCGCTTCGTAGATCCCTTCTCGTTGCCAAGTTGAGCGGTCGAGAGGCAGATTTTCGAGTCGCTTACAACGATATAGTGGCCGGTTTCCAGGGTGTTTGGCGCTATGGTAATATCACCGATTTTCATTACAGTTACTTGTTGTTCACGCCTCTTCACGGATTCGAGGAAAACGGAGTCGTCGCAAAGTTGATCGTTACGTACACGGAGAATGGCCACCTGGACGTCGATACCGAATTCTTGATAAATTTCGCTGAAACGAGACTCGGCGTCAGAGCAAAAGGTGGACCGAAACCACCGCCGGTCTCTATACCGATCCAACCTTCGATCGGGATCGCGAGCGCATTGGGACGAGACAAAGAGGAGGGTGAAGAAGAAGAAGAAGAAGAAGAAGAGCAAAATAATCTTTACTGGCACGGGGAGATCGAAGTTTACCCGATAATCTTCGAAAGCGTGACGGGAGAACTGGACGTGGACAACGACGGACCGACGTATAAGATTTTAGCCGTTTTGCAATATTTTCAGGGAAAAATTGTATTGGACGACACGTTCTGTATCGAGGACTTATTCAACCTGAAGAACGAGCTCTCGATCATCGTTCCTTTCGAAACCGTCAACGAGATCAACTGTTTGAACTCGTTCAACGTAGACATGGAAAAGTCCAGCTATACGATGCAAATAGCCGTAAACGTGAGACGAAACGCGACGTGGTACGAAACAGGAGTGAACGCGAATTACGTTTACTCCGAGAACGATATGGACGATTCGCAAACGCACAAGTTACGATTAAACTTTAACACTCCTATGGAGTTTCTACGATTTCTCGACACGAACATCAGCCTGGACGCGGAAGAGAACTTTTACAAGATCAAGATCGGTATTCGCGCGCCGAACAGTTCGATCGATCTGTCCGGATCTTTCGAGAACGAAATGTCTCTCGATTCGATGTTGGTGGTCGAGATCGATACGCCGATGTTGAAACTGCCCGAATCGACGTTCGCCGTTAAGCGAGACCTGACGGAGAAGGAAAAATATCTAAAGATAAGCGGCGAAATCGCCGAACCCGTCTCGAAGTCGTTCTCCCTTCAATCGGAATGGTACGCGGACGAAGATCGCGTCACCGCTTTTCTCGCTTTAACGTCTTGGATCGAAACGCTGAAAAGCATCGAAGCTGACGTGTCTCTCTCGAACGCGGTACCGACCAACGATACCGCGAGCTTAACCGTCCGCGTGAAATACTTGATCGATCGAGAGTACAAGCTACTCGGAAACTATAGTGCCGGTGCGATTCACGCTAGGCTTTATACGCCGTTCGTGAACGGTAAAGAACCGCGCTTCGAGTTCCGAGGTAGCGCGAGTAAAACGAACGAGACCGCTTACGATTTGAACGGGAATTTATCGGACTTTGCAAGCGCGAAAACGCATCTTGTTTCCGGTACGTTCCTTCTACGAAACGGCTCGTTGCACGACCTCGCGATGATCGCGCGACCAACGACGAGCAACGACCCACAAGATCGTTTGGTCGTGAAGCTGAAGAGGGAAACGTACAGCCTGAGCGTGTCCTTGGATGGTCGCGATGGAAACGGAACGATCGACGCAAACTTTATAAACTATTTCAATTGGGATGCCAGAGCTCGCGCGGAGATTCGAAACGAATCGGGCATCAGAGAACGTTTCTTGTTTAGCACTTTCGCGAACGTTCAGGTAAACGGTAATACCACTTTGTACGTACACGCGGAAACACCCTTCGAGGATATAAAAAATCTTAGCTTTACCGGAAACATCTTACTGACAAACCAGAGCGGTGACGTTCGAGCGAATGGTCGTTTGAACGAGGACACTCGATACGCCGCTCTTCAATGGCGTTTGATTTACATGATGGACATGTTCGGAAGGCTGATCGTCGGCTACCAACCGTTAAACGATCTCGAGTCGAAACTGATCGATACTCGAATATTCTTCAGAAATCCGCGGCGAGCGTTCAGAAACATCGACACTGGCTTCGACTTGGACGTGGATCGCGAGAAATGGAAATTCGCGGCAAACGCCACTCTCGGTTTTCGTAATCACGAGAACATCGACGGAGTGTTCGTGGTCAAGCTGCCGCCTCCCTACGACGACGACCATCGTCTGTTGATCAGCTATCACGCTAACGGAGGACTCAAGGATGCGTCGTACGTGATCGGTTACAATGCCGTAAAGGCTAATACCAACTACGCTTCCGACGGTTCGGTTCGTATAAGCTACAGCTCGATCGCGTTTTCCACGATACGCTCTATACGGCTATTAACGAGCGTTATTCGAATTCCTTGCAGATCCATACGGGCACTCGAAACATCGACGGGCACCTTCGCGTCTCTTGGGGGATGCTACCCGTTCAGGCTGTCAATAATCTGTTGAACGTCAGCTTCGACGACAAGGAGATCCAGTTCAAGTATTCGTTGTACACTCCGAAGTTTCAACAGCAAGAAACTTTGGTGTTCCTGCTCGATTACGATGCCAAGCACGACGCGATCAGACGTTCGATAAACGCCAACGTCCACTATCCAGCTAGCACGAATTTCGCTTCGGCGAATATATCTTACGAGAGTCTGTCGAACGTGAACGGAACCGTGAACGCCGTCTTACCTTTCGCGAATATTTCGCGACTCGGATGTCAATTCGTCGTACTCACCACTCTGTAAGCGTTCATAAATTACGTAACGCGCAATAATTAATTAATAATTAATCGATTTCTCTTTTGTCGCAGGCAACGAAACAAGAAGTACGCAAAGATTTTCTGGTCGAAAAACACGGCGATAGTAGACTCGGATTACACGTATCGCAGCGAGAAACTAAATTCCGATCTCGAAGGAATCTTCCACGCGGAGATACCGCTGAACACGCGTCATGTCGGTCATCTGACGTACGGTTACAAGAAACGACCCCAAGTAACCACCGGTTACTCCGTGCTGACGTATAACGAGCAAAAGGTTCTGCACGGTCGGTACGACTCCAAGAGCGAATCCAGGGCCGGCTTCGAGAAGGATCGGGTGCAAATTACGATCGAAAACGTCTACAAACCTATAGGTATTCTCTACGTGAATCAGTACGAGTACAGCGCAGGTAACCAAGGTACAAACTATCCGACCGTCGAATTTAAGCACGTGAACCTCTATCGACTGGACAATAGAACAGCGTTCAACGTGGCCGGTGAATCGAGAATCAGGACGACGCATACCGGTCAAAATATCCATCTGAAAGCGATACATTCGAACAGAACGGTGCAACTGAAAACCGATTATCAGGTTCTACCCGGCGAGTTCGATCAAAACAGCTGGTTGAGCTTGGCCGAAGACGTATGGATATCTTATCGCGTGAACATCTTAAACAAAACGACGGAAGACGTGGACAATCAGTTTCTGGTGGTGAGCGTATCCTACCCTCGACGGAACTTTACTCTCGACGGTTCGTATTGGATCAGTAGCGACGAGCTCAGATCGGAGGCGAAGCTAGACTGGGATAGAGATACCAGCCTGCCGAGAACCGTCGGAGCGCAGTTCAATTGGGTAAACCTATCCTCGAACGTCGACACGAACGTGCGACAACGAGCCGTTTTCGCTTTGAGACATCCAACTTTCTCGCAACGGGTCTTCCTAAAAGGCGAGCTACTCAAAAATAACCCGAAAGATCTGTTGAACGTTCTTCTCACCGCTGACTATTCCGGCGATCCCGACAAACATTTTTCGTTGTCCGCGACGCTCAGGGACGAGAGCAACTTACCCTCTATCAGAAGATACGTTTACGAAATAACGGGAAAACATCCGAGCACCAGATTCGATCTCGACCTTCGAGGATTCTTACACAAACGCGAAAGAGTTTTGTTCGAGACCGTGAACACCGGTCTCTATAAACGCGGTTTTCTAACCAGCGACTCCGGAAAGTTCGATGCGCGTTTGGATCTTGCTCGCGATCGACTCTTTTTCCACCGAGAATACAACGATGCCGTGAAACGATTGAACGTTCAATATCGGTCGATCGAGCAACGATACATCGTGAACGGCAGCGTAGTCGACACTCCGAATCTGAACGCTACCGGTATTTTCCTTCTCGACCCGACCGACAAGTTAATTAGGATGACGCTCAATTACACTCCGGGTACGTACATTGCACTTTCACCTATTCCCTCTTATTCTTATTGTAAAACGATCTATTTGTACGCGCTACAGACGGCGTAGAAAGCTTAAGGATGTACGGAAACATCCCCGATGCTCGTAATGCCATATTCAACGTTTGGAGGACATACGAGGAAGATTTTTTCGTATCCGACATTTCCTTTTACTTGAAACTCAACCATTCTAGACTGATCACTTCCACGCTGCACTGGCGACCCGAACTCAGGAGCGACATTATCGTACGTTCGACCACTTTTTTTTCTCCTTTTTTCCTTTTCTCCTTCTCCTTCGCTATGCTTTTCGAATATTTTAATAAAAAATCTTTTGCCACAGACTGGAGTAAAGAAAGCTGCGATGGACGCGTACGACTCTGCGAACAACGACATCGACAACTGGAAGCAGTACGTCAAAAGCGAAACGGTCAACGTGATTTCCGACGTGTGGAGCGACGCTCAAGAAGATCTTGCAGAATTTCTCGACGATTGGAAGTGAGTAGTCGTCTGTTACGGTGGTTCGTATCGAGCCGACAATAATCTCGTTTCGCTTTTCAGTAATCTGAAGGAGCTGCAGAAGGACTTGGACGAATTGAAAATCTATCTGAACGATTCTTACAACGCGAACGACTTTTATATCAAGGACATGGTCGCTCTAGGTTTATACGTGATCGACGAGCTCTCGCTACGAAGTCATATACAGTCTTTGCCAAACATCGTGAACGAGATATGGGAGATAATGGGCGAATCGGGCGAAGCGATCAGAAACTCGTTGCTTTGGTTAATCGAAACCATCAAGAACGCGTTAAATAAAGTTTCCGAGATCATCGCTGCTATTTTAAGAGGCGATTCGATCTCCCAAGTGGCGAATATAATCGAGAAGCTTGTAGAGAAATACGACAAATTCGTGAAAGACCTACACGTGTCGTTCATCAAGTACATCGAAAATCTTTGGGGAAAGATATCTCAGTCGATTTCGAGGCAATGGCATCGATTCTTATTAACGATCGAACCGCTTTTCATTCGTTTGATTCACTATTTGGAAACCGTGGTCTGGAAGGCGAGCAAAGAGGTGGTAGATTTCCTCTACGATCGCCGAAACGACCTGATCGCGTCTCCTTACTTCGACCGTTTCACTAATTTCACGCAGGACATCGACAAGCTCTATCGAGACATCAAAAGTAACGATATCGTAACCAATATTCAAAAGTATACCGGCTTGATAATACGGTTTCTGAAGGAAAAGTACTTCGCTTTCGTTCCGTTCGGTAAAGAACTGCAGGACGTCGTCGACGAGATTATTACCGAATTGAAAGAACTGCAAAAATTACCGTCTATACGGTACGCTTTGGAAAAGATGCAACAAGTGTACGGTAGAGTTTACTACGTTTACGAGTATCTCGAGGTACAAGCAAAAATAGAAAACGCTCTTCGATTAATTCATTCGAAATTAATGGAAGCGAGCCAAACCGCCTTACAGGCTGAAAGTCGCTACAGAGAAGCCAAAACGGAGTTCGTGTTCGATCCCAACCAAGGGTTGATGCGTCTCGAACAAAAGCTTCCGATGTCTTGGCACGCTTTCAATCAGATTCCGGAATTTCACGAGATTCCCGAATTCAGAGCTGTCGCCGACCTCAAATGGTACTTTGCTTCCTCGAATCTGACCTTCTGGAGCGTGTACCGATATAAGCCTTATATGGATCCGTTTAACTGGTTCCCTCCGTTCAAAGGTGACTACGAAATTTCATTCTCTTTTTCGAAAGGATACCAACAAAGCGAACTAATCACAAGCTATCGCGTTTCAGCGTACGCGACGATCGTTGGCTCCCGATACTTCACCACCTTCGACGGCCGACACTTGGAATTTACCGGGCCCTGTACTTACTTGTTGGCTCGAGATTTCGTACAAAACACGTTCACCGTTCTCATCGAGTTTCATCCGCGATCCGATCGCGTCACTCACAAGATCATCGTGTTGCTCGACCAAGATGCTCTCGAGCTCGATTACTTCAACGACGTTAGTACCATTCGAAACATTTATTTTTTTTCTTTTCTTTTCTTTTCTTTTTCGAGTTTTTAACGCTTTCTTAAACGTTCATCCGTTACAGAGCATTAAACTGATCTCGAGACGGTCGTCGAAGCAAGCGAACGATCTGCAGCTTCCCATCGGACTAGAGAACGGGACCACGCACGTCTATCAGACGGAAAGCGTAGTCATCGTGGAGCGAAAACAAAACCAATTACGACTCGAGTGTAATCTAAAGTTTGATATGTGCACGCTCGAATTATCCGGTTGGTATCATGGAAAAACTGCTGGCATTCTTGGTACCATGAACTACGAACCGATGGACGATACCACGTTGTCGAGCGGAATCGTAACGACGGACGTAAGGAAATTCGCCGATAGCTGGTCGATCGATCGACTAAACTCGAGCCGTTGCTCTTCGAACGCTTTCGATTCCACGCCGACCACGAAACCGGAACAAGATCCGATCGTTCCGGATTTTTGTACCGATCTGTTCGTAAACAAAAGTTCCGAATTCGTTTCTTGCTTCGACGTGATCGAACCGGCGGAATATTTCAAAATGTGCGTCCAGAGCGCGATCAAGTCCGAGGCTTGTACGATAGCGCTCGCTTATATGCAAGCGTGCACGTTCCACGACACCTATCTCAGAATTCCGGATGCGTGTACCAGTTGTAGCATGTTCGACGGTAGTCAGGTGGCCGAAGGCGAGTTTAGAAGGTTGGAAGGTGAACGCGTACCAAAGTCGACCGACGTGGTCTTTATCGTCGAAGGGAAAGAATGCAATCGCGGCGTGAAAGAAAATCGTAGCATCGAGCACTTGGTCGCTCAATTGAACAAAGAATTTCGAGATCAAGGTTTGACCGACAACCGATGGTCTCTGGTCGTCTTTGGGGCTGACGGAGTACTCGATCGTCCGAGAAGCGTCGTTTTCGACGGGCAAATTTTCACGAAAAACGCGGTGCGATTCGTCGATTATTTCGATCGCGTGCCCGTCGGCGACGGAAACAGAGACATTTTTGCGGCGATCGCGTTCGCCTCGAAACTCGTTTTCAGAGCCGGCGTTTCAAAAACGTTCATTCTGATGCCTTGCTCGCATTGCGAGCCAGAAAACCAGACGGTAAGTCGGCACCGATCAACTCGAAATTTCCATCTGCTCGCTATTTCGATCAATCTTCCTTTGCTTTCAGTTGGACTATTCTGTGCTTCATGAAGTTTTATTAGAACACGACATCACGCTTCACATACTGATGGACGGTGATTTCGAGTCCGAGAAAGAACGCCTCAACAAGATGTTGTACGGTCTAGATGCATCGAAATCGTACACGAAAAAGGACGCGAGAACATTGGTCGGCGACGTCGATCTAAGGCGACAGATGAAACTTTCCAAGAGCGCGCTCGGTTATTGTACACCATTGTCCCTGGAGATTAATGGAACTATATTTAGCGGTGACAAATTACGATTCGACAAGTTAGCCTCCATCAAAAAGTTTGCCAGCGTTTTCTCCAAGAGGGTAGCATTGACCGCGCAACCGAATCCTTGTCAAAATTGCGAATGCACCGCGGACAATAACGGGGTCACGCGAATGGAATGTATACCTTGCGTGTACCCGACACCAATTTCCGTCGATTACGTGAGTAATCTTCGACGATTAGCGATTTTCCTTTCGAACTAACCCCTTCGTTAAAACTCTGCTACAACGTTATATTTTCTTCTTTACGCAGGAAACGTTCAATCTAAACGATTCACTCGCCTCTCTACAGCCGCTAAACATGGACTATGGACAAATCGATATCGATGACAGCTGAAACACCGACACAATAACGTATCTTTGCATCGTGTTCGCAGCGTACGATCCTGATCGACGGGCATGCATTCGTCTCCGTTGACAACGAGCAATTAACATTTATCGTAATCTATCGTTTATCTCGTAAATTATGTTACGTATATCAAAAGAATTTCGCGTGTCTGTAAAATAGCATCGAAAATCTCAATCCTTCGAGTACAAGCGAGTGATTCGACGTGAACATTATTTATACGCATAGATAAGAAAGAGACAGTCTCGTTTATTGTAATCGACGACGCTACACACGTTTCGTGTACAGGTTTTCAATTAGAAAATCAGAGTCGACGAATGGGAGAGAACAATATGCCGTTGTTGTTCTTTGCCCGAAAATTAAACAGTATCGAGCAAATAATCATAATTTCTATCATATGTCGAACGTAACTTATATATTGTTACGAATAACGCGTATATTCGTTCATTTCTTTTTTATACAGATTTTTATTGGTCCTTCCTGAAGTACCAATTGCCAGCAGGTATACCTATCACGTCAGTACAGTGCCATCCGCTCGAGCGTTATCCAAATCGTTAACAATTAATAAAATATCGTATGATTTAACCATTTGGTAAGATTACTTTAAAATAACTAAGAATATTTACCGTATTAATTTTTCTTCGAGTCGTTTCAAGATCTTTTCGCGTTATATCTTTTATGGCATTTATATCATTTGACACGAGATTCTAAACTCTGCGCAACGATCTGCTCCTTCCCTTTACCACTTAAGAACGTTACCATACCATTAGTCGATGCAAACAGAAATAACATTAATTCGTAAATATATTTCTACGAAGCACGGACAAAATAACAAAAGTGTGTAATATTCTCCTCTATAAATTCCGTTTGCGAGAATCGAACGAGTGATTATTTAAAAGAAGAAGAAAAAAAAAAAAGAGATAGAGAAAAAAGAAAAACACGATTATCCTTTGGGCAGCAATTCGAAATTAACGTGCGTAAAGGAAAGCTTATAATGGTTACTTAAAAGAGTAACCAGTTGCGATTGATATATAAAATTTTTCACTCGTGTAATTATATTATATTACATGTATAATATAATATAATTATAACATATATATATATATACTGTACAAATATAATAGGAATCGTGAATAATAATCGATTCACGTTGCACTATTTGGTATTTCAGCTTGCACGTATATCTTTGGCAAACTGAAAAATGGCGAAAAAATGTATCGTATTAACTTAATTTGCTCTAAAAATAACAGCAATAATAATATTAATACCGTTAATATTAAAGGTAATAATAAAATCGGTAAAGACCAATCGAGTCTTAGAGAAACGTAACGACAAAAAGAAGAAAGAAGAAAAAAGAAAAAAGAAAAAAGAAAATAGAGCTTCTCGATTAACGCATTCGCTACCGATCAAGGTCGACGGCGTATGCGGAATAAAGCTAAACAAACTCTGATCTATGAACGCGTTACAAAAACTGAGCGATCGAACAATCTGAAATCAAGTTTGAAACGAGATGGCCACGAGTTATTTGATAAAATAATAATCTTGGCCGCTATTACGATATCGTTGTCTACGCGCACTGTAAAACGGTCACCTCGTATCATGAGCCTGCAAATGATTGGGAGCATCTGCAAAGGTGAATTTTAATTTGTACGCTTCTGCGACCAATATTCCTATTTCCGAATCGGTCCAATTTTGAGTAGGCAGGTTTTGTAGCATTAACATTAATCCCTAAACAACAAATGGTACCGTATCATTTCCATCGGCGTGTTACGTCATTTAATAATATCTAGTTTAATACTTACTTGAAAATCAGGTTGTAAGAGAAGGTGACGTCTCCAACGAAGAAGAAACGCAGCGCACACGTAAAGTTGAAACGAAGCGAATCGATCAGATTCCGCCAAGTATGTATCCCATAAACGAATCGTGCAATGAAGAGGAATTTCTCTTGTTAATAAATTATTCATCCATCGGAAGGAAAACTGTAAGTAATCGACTCCGTGTTGATGCAGATGTTGATGCAACGGAGCTGGAAAAATGAATCGCCCGCATCAGCTATTGCGATATCAGAATCGAGAAATAGCGATAGAAAATAAAACGAATTACACACCATCGATTCTTTGTATAAGCTCTTTCAACTGATTTACTTTGTGCTGAATACCTAATTGAGCAAAGATATAATTATCTTGAATACCATCCAGAAACTTAGACAAGCACCAAAAACTGTCTGCTTCTATTATATCCTTTTGTTCTTTTTCTAACGATGCTACATCGTAATTTTCCAAGTCTTGCCATGCTGACATTGGTACTGCCTCTTGTAAAAATACCAGAAAGAAAGGTGTCACCAGATCGTTCATTCCCTAAATAAGAGAACATAATACAAAAAAGAAAAGAACACGAATATATACTCGAATATAATAATGCAATCTTACTTGAACGTATCCCGAAGCGGGATGACGAATAGCCCAAATATAAAGTATTCTTTCGAATATTAATTGTACCGTCGTTTGCTGAAACAACGAAATAAGCGGTGACATTCTTGGAATGTCAATATGAATTTGCCGATATGTATCTTGAAACCCTTCGTCTCTTTCTGTATCATAATACTGTTTCACTAAATTCCAATAATCTACGCGTTTACGTTCCAATACGTGCTGCCTTCGTTCTAAATTAGCTGGCAAATATTCCTGTATCGTAAAAAGGGAAAACAGTAGTTCAAGATGTTTACAGAAAATTTCTACGTTCAAAGTAAAATACGGTATAGTTTACCTTTCTTACTTACAGACAATAGCCTCCAAGTAACAGAACGCAGTCTTGCAGGTATACCTGACCAGGACAATTGTCTTAATTCGTCTAAATTTAACACAGAAGCTTCCAAAAGAGATTGAAATTTATCTACTTTACTTTCGCCATCTGCAATTGTTAATGAAAGTAATACTATATCGGGATTGAACGAATACGGGACAAGGATACCGGGATGTAACATGCGTAAACACCTTGTTCTTTAGAAGGTATAAAAAATTTCGAAGGCGCGTTCGCTTGTCTCAATGGTTGTGGCCTACCAGGAAATTGTGTCGGTTTATGTTGAGGGGAAGCACCATATTTTACATCCGTATCTTCGGTGGAATGTTGACTGTTGTTCATTTGAGAATGCATCGACAAATTAGCATTTCGTAAATGCAATGGCTGAACGGCTAATCTTTGCAAAGCCTCTGCCCTTTTCTCTTCAGGAATAATTTCTTGTACACGGTGTTGAGGTTTTACGGATATTCCTGACTCTATACACGATTTTCTTGACCGATGACTGTTAATAACGCTAATAGCAGCAGAATGACTGACACGTTTCGATATCTTTACATCGGAAACGGTACAAAATTCGTCGTCACCCGAATCCCAAGCATCGTCTATACTTTCTTGAAAATCCTGAAACGACGTACAACCACCGCTACTTCCAGATACGCCTCCGCTACTAGTAGACACTGCATTGGTTGAACCAGGCGCAAGATTTGTAGTACCTACTTTGCCAAGTTTACCATCTTGTTTGGGGCTTGGTCTTTTATCGTATGCGTAAACAATTACACCATAATTAGTAATTGATCCCGAGTATTTGTTATAGTTTATATTTTAACATTATCAAACGTAACTTCAATTTTATGATAGCGCTATCTAATGTAAATCGGACATACCTGCCTGGAACAGCACGCGTATTCTTTTTCCAAAATGACTGATGCGTCTGATAAGTTTGACTATGCTGATTCTGGTTTTCCATAATGATTGGAAATATTGTTAACTGGCACCTGCCACTTTTCCAAGATAATTGAAAACACGGTACAAATTCCTCATTCCCTTAGAAAGAATCACTGAAACCATAATTGATATTGTCGGTAATTACATTGTCGGTGAAAATTTTTCAACTTGAATTATTAATTATTATTCGTGGAAAACTACACGATGTATATCATTGCGAGCTGCAAGTAACAAGAATAAAGAATATGGAACATATTATTTACACGTACGTATATAAATTTACAACTTTAATCCCCCTTTGAGTTATCTTCTACATAAAATTAGTAATTGTAAGTACATCGCTTAAATGTACTATGTTAAATGTAGTCGCTTCAAAAGATATGTACATGTATATATAAGTAATGATATCTAAAATAAACTTTTCGAAATGACATGCAGAAATAAATGTAAACACTGTTGTGTAAAAAAAACGAATAGTAGAAAAATCATTTTATCAAATTTTCTGCTCCTAATTTGTTATAAGTAGGTTATGTTCTATAGCGTACATATGTATCCGGATCAAAAGTCATGAATAGAATAAAAGAAAACGATACCGATTTACCCAGGAATGCTGTACGTCAACAGTAAACGAGTTAGCATAACACTTGAATTATTAAAATCCCTTAGAACATGGGATATTACGTGCATAAAGTAATTCCTTTCTTTTCGCATATACAGTTGACATCACGATAATACGCATTACGGTATATATATTATAAAATTTGTAACGTAAGACAACCTTTTCTAAAATTTACCGAATATCAAGCGATATGCTGTATAAAAACCTCATCTTGTAAACGCTGACTGTTTTTGACATATAACACATTCATACCAGTGCTGCCACTGAAGAAATGGCTAAATTAAATGTAAATGTAACAATTATTATATGTATGTAATATATTTTTTTCACAACTTCTACATCTATGTAGTTTACACATCGTTTAAAAAGACATATATCTTTCTTCATCGTTAATCGCCTGTATTTTTATCAAATATTTTACGATACAGTATTTGATAAAAATCTTATGATCGTACACCGTATAAGTATATAAAATATCAATCAAGTTGTAATATATACATATTAGAGCTGTACAAATTCGAACATTCGAATATACTTATTCCATCTACACGTATTTGTCGAGCCTTCTAACTGGCTTTGTTTCTATCGATAGCTCGCAAACAGATAACTGGAACGAGTGTCGAGGTAGCTGACATTTAAAATTCAGCGTATCGATGTGATACACAAATATACAATATATTAAATACGTAATAATGTTCTGTTCGAAAAGAAAATCCAACTTTTATATTTTTAACTTCTTTATATCTAAACATTTTTTAGACAAGACATATTGGTGAGATATTTTCGACAAAAATAAAGCGAAACATAACATAATTGTAGCAATCATTTTTATTTCAAGGAAAAGTAAGTAATGCATTTAAATATACATATAAGTATGATCCAAATTATATCGTATGAAGAAAATCAAAGGCGAACCAGCGACGTTTTATAAATATAAGTGAATTAAGAAGAATAAACACATGGATGGTATACACATAAATATTGTTTTGAGATGAATCTATTTTGCTTAACCGTATTTTTCATGTTATATAAACATTATGTATCTATTTATATATACATATATTAAGTGTTATTATCTATGCGAAGGCAAAGTCACGTGTATTAGGCATATGACATACATATACCTACCACAAACTTATGCAAACCAATATATACTTATTTACAATGATACACCAGATAATATTATGGTATATACATACATATTTACAAATAATGTAGCAAGTGCGATCCAACGTAATCAGTATGATCAGTAGCCGTCAGTCGGCGCGTATGTTCCGCGCACCGTCGTGTTTGTTAACGGTGCGTTTCAAGATATCTGGCAAATTTTAAATAAAAATGTAAAAAACTGTCCATAACTTGTTGCATTTTAATATACCACGTTAAAATCAGATTAAAAATGTATGCGGATAGGTGTTAGTTTGTCTATTCTTTGTTGTTGATACGGTATTGTTACCATTTGATGTTTAACAAATTAATGGTAAGTTACGTATATACATATTCGCATATTTGAATAGATTTCAACTGTTATTTTATTTGTTTGCAATTACCGATTGACTAATTTAGTAAATCCACGAGTCATCCTAATACGAATTATTAGGAATTTACGAGAGATTTATACGGGTCTGCCGTGCCATCGCGTTAACTCAATTATACTTTCTTTGTAACACTCTACTTTAGATTGCTTCCGGATTCTCTATACTATTCGAATATTATTTTATCTTCTTTAAATAAACATAAAATTGAATTTCGTTCTTTGTTTATTCATTTCACTACATTGTGTAATGTTTTCAATTCAAATTAATTTCATTTCATACCTTTATGCCTAATATTATACAATCTTTTATTTCTGTCACATTATTAGTTTTAAATTCTGTTTACGTTTACATATGTTTTAAAAACACAACTAGTTTTGCGGAAGTTAAAATGTAAAAGTTTATAGAAGTAAAAGTAAAATTGTAAAATGATAGAAACTTTTATAGTTCATGATAAATATTAGATATTATCTTCATTAAAAATTCTTATCATTATGATATCTTTTTACCCAATTTATAATTCCTTATCATTAAAGAAGGTACCTTGCTCTATCATATCATTTTTGTTAATATCAATAATAATTTATGAACACGTTTAATATAATTTAAATTGTTAATATCAGTTTTGTACTAATTACTATAAGGACAAAGGAATTGAAAGAATATGTTGTTCTTCTTTTTTTGTTGTATTTTCTATTAAGTATGGAAATTGTAGTTTTATCATGAAACTAGAAAAGCAATGACCTAAAATTAAACGAGCACAGTTGAGAAATCTGTTTGAGAGAATAACTTTCACCTTTAATAATTAGCGTTTTTAGTGCAAAAGAGAATCAGTTTAGAAAATATAACGAATATAACTTATGTTAACGTACCAAATGTCACTGTATCATATAACATATGCTATCTTACTTTTCAAGGTATTTTCAATATCAATTAAAAATGTCGGACATCGAAGAAGACGAAGTATGTATATTTATTTAATGTTAAATATAAAAGTATTTATCATTTATATTTATTATTGTTGTTCCGATTAAACTATAATTTTAATCATTATTTTAGTTTCAAGATGCTCAAGAGTCTATCCCACAGTAAGTAATTTAAACACGTATACATATATCATGTGTATAATATTTATATATATATATATATGTATGCATATAAAAGCAATTATATCTTATTTTCAGACCAACTACCATGGATTTAGATACGGCAATAATGGAAGCAAAAAAAGCTATACATTATTTTTTTAATAACGATTTTGAAGAAGCACGGAAAATTATGGAGCCCTGGGCAAGCAGTAGCGTATATCATTCTTTAGGAACAAGCGTATTCGCCTTTCTTGAAGCCATTTTTACATACGAACAAGTATTAAATCACAATATATCGTGATATCTGGATAAATATATTTTTCAATAACACATTATAATATGCATTGCTTAGAAACAGATTGAAAAGGCAGTTGCGGCTGTAAAACAGTGCATGAGTGTATGCATGAAACAACGCAAACATGCAACACTAACAGAAAATATAGGCAAAATGGTCAAGAAGACTAATTATGATACTTATACGATTGGTAATTATAATTATAAAATATATATATATATATATATATAGAAAGTGCAGCACGTTTTGTCAAGTTGTTTACTTTGCTTTTTGTCTGCGTTGTGCAATGAAATTACTCGATATTTTGTTTCTTTCCAAAGAGCATGTAATATCTTAACATTTAAACAATTTCTTTTACTGCTCGAGGTTACAACATCGGACGCTTGAAATAGTTTACATAACTTCAAATTTGCTTTTACTTCGTAATTTCAAGCATTTTCAAATATTTGAATGATTTATGTACTCATATTATACGTATTATTCTCTATATGTACTGTACTAACGGAGTTAGTAAGTAGACGCGAAGCATGCAGGGAATGATAGAGGATTAATATTGCAGAGGAAGTGCATGCGGAACTATGTTATGCCGAATCACTCCTTTTAAAATCGATGCTCACGTTTGTGGAGGACGAGACTTTGGTCAGCTTTGTCAAGGCTGGATTGAAAATTCGTACCTGCTTTCTGTCGTATAAGTAAACAAATCAGATATCATTATCTGTTCATTTCAGTTTTATATATAATAACTCGAAACAGTGCTTTATACATATGTTATTTTCTTTTAGAGAATGTTTAACAATACTGAATAGTCGAAAGTGGGAAAACGATGTTCACAAAATACATTTCGAGAGTGGTGTTCGTACGGGAATTGGTGCATTTAATTTGGTACATTTAACTGTCTTTGTTATACAAAATTGTTCATGTAATATCGTTTAACAGTTTTAATGATGTTGTAGATGATCTCTTTATTACCAGCAAAAATTATTAAACTTCTGGAATTTATTGGATTTTCGGGCGATAAAGTAAGTGAAAATGATACTCTTTGATTCAACTCTACAGTGACTTAATAATATTTTCGTCCATAGGAATATGGCTTATCAGAATTAGAAGCGGGATACAAGGAAAGAAGGGGATTACGACATGTGCTATGCGCAATGATTCTTTTAGCTTACAATTTAATAGCATCTTTCGTCTTAAGCCATACAGACGGTGATTTAGACTTGTGCGAAAAAGTTTTAGAAGAAGAATTAAATTTGTATCCAAACGGTTTGTGGTTTTTATTTTTCAAAGGAAGGCTTGAATTAACCAGAGGGAATTTCGAGAATTCTTTAGAATGGTATACAAAATCTTGGAAAAGTCAAGACCAGTGGCCTCAGTTTCATCATATTTGTTTTTGGGAATTAATGTGGGCACACTGTGGGTTACAGCAATGGAAACAAGCTGCAACATTCGCTAGTACATTGGCCAAGGAATCGAATTGGTCGCGTACTATTTACTTATATCAAAAAGCTGCAATTCTTATCATGCAGAAACCGCCAACACAAAGCGAAGAAAGACAGACGATAGATAGTTTAATGATGAAGGTACCAACGTACAAGCAACGAATCGCTGGAAAATCATTGCCCATGGAAAAATTCGTTATAAAAAAGGCTGAACGTTATTTTGCCCAAAAAAAAAATCTAGTCCTTCCTGTATTTGAACTTATGTATATGTGGAATTTGTTCCGAATGATTGGAAAACGCCAAGATTTAATGCTAAATATATTTAAAGTAATAGAAGATGCAGAGAAGGAGTTGAAAAAAGTTACGTAAGTGTTTTGTTCTCCTTCGATTTCCTTAGACGTGTTCATAAGTTATTTTAAATATGTTACAGAAAAACCGAATATCATGCCGACAACGAAGCACTTATATTGCTTTTAAAAGGTGCCTGTTTACGACAAATGAAGCACCCTTTGTTGGCCGAAGATTGTTTGAGACGCGTTTTCGAGTTGGATAAATCGATTAGGGAAGATACTTATTTACTTCCTTATGCTACGGTAGAATTAGCTTTGGTAGCCCAAGATCAAGGAAACATGCAACTTGCTATTAGTTTCCTAGAGGATGCTAAGTATGTAATTACTTTTTCTTCCATTGAATATGTTTCTATGCGGAATGTCTATTAATTAGAAATTAATATGTTATTTATTTTTGTTTACAGAAAGAACTTTACCGGGTATATGTTAGAGTCTAGATTACATTTCAAAATTCATTCCGATTTGATGAGACTAACAGGAAAGAAAGCAGAAGATATTTTAGTATAATGATACTTGGAAATCGTAATTTCCGTAAGAAAGACTCGTTACTGCCAATAGTGTCACTATTGCGGCTTCAAGCACAGTTTTATTTAACGATTTGTTTTCACACGACAAACCGATGGATACTTTTTTAATTTCAAAACATCTTTGCCGACTTTTACGGGAGAATCAGTATCTTATTTTATTACCGTTTGTTATCTTTAATTAATTTTGTTGCTTAGTGTATTTTTTACAACTAGTTCAGAAGGATTAGACAAAGGTTAAGGGGTTAAATTATTTGTTTATATTAAATTATTTGTTTATTTTAAATTATTTTTGTTATAGAATATATTGAGGTATCTTTAAGGGCAGATAAAATACCAATTTAATTGGTACTAGTAAAATTATCAGTGTCATCCGCGTGTATAGATACATATATGCACTCGTTGACACAGGTTATAGGAGTGATGTTTAATAAACTATAAATTAAATAATACCTATAAGTAAGAGGTAAAATCGAAATAATAAAGCGGTTTATTGTTAATTGAATTTGTCGCACTCGAAGCTGACTGGTAATTTTGCTTTGCGCATTTTTTTTTATTTGACGCTTTACAGGTTGACGAATGAGTACATTCCTATTAAAAGAAAGAAAAACAAAAAATTCACTTTTTATAAATTTTTTTTATTTTTTTATACTATTTTTCAAGATTACACGTTGTCGTTCTTATATTACTTGTGTTGTTGTTATGTCAAATCTTCAGTATTTTCTTTAAGTATTTGTACATGCTTATACATATATGTACTAATTGGATTAATAATGGCGTGTAGAATTCTATTTCTATCTTACACAGGGTGGACCAGTAATTATTAGTATTTAAATTATTTTCGAGGCTATAAACGATACAGAAAGCAAGTGTTATAAATAAAATTGAAAAACAAAAAAATAGAAGTCATTGTATACAAGTTGTAATGGTTTACTTTTATCGCTTAAAAGCCAGAAAGTTTTCTTGATTTCTTTCTCGATTACTATTGTTAATTATTATTAACAATGGGTAATATCAAATTGTTTGAAATTATTAAAAATAATGTTATCTCTGCTAGACATTACATTGTATCATACTAGTGTTGTAATATTATAATTATATAACTAGTCAAATGTAATAATAGTATTTTGTACTATACATAAATTACTATCGTTAAAATATCATATTCTATATTATTAATTGCATATAGAATTTAATGTTGCGCACTTTCTTCACCCGCTTCTTGTGCATTGATTTTGATCAAGCTTGGCACAAATATAGAACTCGACGAGTTTCAGTACTTGTCGAAACTGGAATTTTTAAATTTGGCCCAGAATTGAAGAGATTTGAAATCGAAGTTAGCCCAAATTAATTTTTCTATTGTGTTCTTTACAATTTAATTGCCTTCTACTAACAAATATTTGCAAATTTCAAATTCTCTGTACAAATGTCGCGGACAATAGGAAAAATAATAACATTACTTTAGTTGGTTATATATGTATATATATATATAATATATTTGGCAAAATATGGTGCTTACGTTTTTACGTATAAATATTTTACACGTACAACGATTATAGAATAGTTGGTTTTGTACATAGTTGGTAAGTGTAGTTCATAAGCAAATGCCTAGAAAAATTCGATACAAAAAGATATAGTCCGAGTTACAGTCACAGGTCTTTTGTACCGCATTTCTATCTTCAGTTCGATTGTGGTACCATAGACTAATTTAGTCCTTGATGGCACACTAAAATACATATTATGAGTTACTAAACAAAATCGCAGTTTAAAAGGAACAGGTCCTAAAACTGATAATATCTACGCATGAGCACATACTTCGACTAATTTACAACAAACATTAATCTAAATTGATAAGTAATTGAATTTTTGCAAGTAGTAAAAATAGTCGAAAATGTGATTACAAAAATTATGTAAGAACGTAACTTAAACGTTCTTTATAATTGATTTTTATATTGAAACTAACAATTATAGTGGAGGTACTACGGCGGAGTATTGTGTAGTACAAAAAGTACAAAAAAAATGGCAATATTTTATTGTGAAATGAATAATTAAAAAATTTGTAAGCATATCGAGAACCGCATAAGTGCATGTATTTCGACAATTCTGTATTCGCGCGCTCAATTCGGAAGTGTGGCGAACAGCAGGGTCGTCGGTCAAGAAGAGTTCTGTTTGCATTTATGAACAAATGATTAATGTTTAAAGCAATCATCGTTTGATCGTTTTCAATTTTACTTAAAAAAACAAAATCGTTTACTATTCATTTTGTAATTAAACCTTCATTCAAGAACATGTATTAAAATAAAATTCCGAATCAATTTTTTGTTTGTAAAGTTTTGCGATTATTCGCTAGATGGCACTAGTGGTACTGTTCCCAAAAAGAGCGCGTGAAAATATAAATCGTGAAATATTTATCCGATATTCTTTAAACTTTTTACATTAATCGCTTCACAATGATCTATTGTCTTGTATGTGCTTCTTATACATTAGGTTGTCGCGGTTCTTACGTTGTAAGTGTAAATTGCACTGCAATATTCAATTGTAATAAACATTAATTTATATTCTTGCGTAATTTCTGTAAGCACTTTTCTAACATGTAAAGTAAATATAACAGCTTACTTTAAATTATAAGCGCGTAGTACTTTTAAAAGTGTTATTATTTATTGATTTTGGAAATGCCTGTTATTAAAATAAGCATGAAGACTATTACAGGCGGCAGGGACATATTCCTGTTAGCTGCCATTTTCCCGAGGGAAGCCTGATTTGCTCTTGATTGTATATACAATACAAATATATAATTTTATAAGTCAATAAGAACATTAATACTTATCAATGGCAAGTATAATTGATTGGTACATAGTTATTTTATATGTAATAGGACTGTACGAGTAATAGTAAAAGCGTTTAATCTTTACACGATGGGTAAGGAATACTCTAACCTATTTTATCGTTCCGTCAAGCCGGCTTTATAAAAGTATAATCAATTCTTTTCTATTCTGATTTATTTTAAATTCGATGCAACATAAAATTACAGTACATTAATTATTGCAAGTTATTGGTTTTATAAAAATTTTGCATGTTATGGTGGACTAAGTGATAAAATCAAAAAGATAAAAACGTGGAGGTAAAATTCTGTATTATCTGTACAAAGATATAATTATTTACAGTTGCTATAAGCAATGTTTTTCAGTGTTTTTGTTCTTAGGGTTGCTTTGTATTATCCAATTTATGAATTTAATTGCAGGTCAGATGTTATTTTTATAAGATTAAAACAGCGGATAACAATAGACTAGTTAGATCGGTGCAATGCTTGCTTGTCAGTGATACGTATTCCGGTAAATATATGTTGTAGAATCGAGGTTAAAAATATAAGTAGTAAAATTATTTGAATATTTACAAGGTAACGAATAAAGTAAGGAAAATAAACATATTCGACACAATGGCATTGGACATCCAAGGTTCTCTTAGAGAAGCTCTGTACGAGACATTGACCGGAATATTATCTCCTCATCGGGAAACTCGTCAAGCAGCGGAACAAAGGATACAAGCGTTGGAAGTTACAGAGGAGTTTGGTATACATTTAACAGAGTTTGTAGTAGATCCTAATGGACACCTACCTATCAGACAGTTAGCATCCGTATTGTTGAAACAATACGTGGAAACACATTGGTCTTCTATGGCTGAAAAATTTCGTCCTCCTGAAATAAGACACGCGACAAAGGAAAGAATTAAAGAATTACTGCCACTAGGTCTTCGGGAATCAATTAGTAAGGTAACTTTCATTCTGATCGCGCACGCATACAGATGGTCAATCGTCAAAATCGATTGGTTCCAGGTACGAGCAGCTGTAGCTTATGCGATATCGGCAATCGCGCATTGGGATTGGCCCGAAAATTGGCCAGGTCTATTCGATATACTCGTCAGTTGTTTGAGCGGAGAAAGCGAATACGCCGTACACGGAGCAATGCGAGTTTTGACCGAATTTACTTCCGATCTTACCGACAATCAATTACCTAATGTGGGACCAGTGATTCTTCAAGAAATGTATAGAATATTTCAGAGCGAAAATGTAAGATTGCGAATAGTCGTTAAAAGGGAAAACGTATTAGAATAGCGACGAAAGGCAACGTTTAATTTTATTCCAGCAATACTCCATTAGAACTCGAGGGCGCGCGGTTGAAATTTTTACGACGATCACGTCGTTAGTTGCCGCTACGGGAGTATATCAAAAAGGATTTACAGAACAATATCTACAACCAGTTATTCCGATGTTTTGCGAGAAATTTGTACAATGTTTGCGAGTTCCTGATGGTCCAACCAGCGACAGCGGGCTTAAAACCGACGTGATCAAAGCTATAAATTGCCTGGTCACCAAATTACCTAAATACGTGTCGAGTTTCTTACCTCAGATGTTACCGCCTGTTTGGGAAACTTTAACGCAAAGCGCGAAAATTTATCAAGAAGGATCGGTGAACGGAGATGGGGATACAAATAATAAAGAGGTCGATTCGGATGGTGAGTTGTTGTTTGTAGGCGAGCAAATGTTTTTTCAAAATGATTTCAAATAATCACTGTCTTATCTATTTAGGCGAGGTGATCAACTTCAGTAACTTGATCATCGCGATATTCGAGTTTGTTCATTCTATCGTGGATCGTAAACGTTTCTCGAACCTGTTGGATAATTTACTGCAAGAATTAATGTACTACCTAGTTATTTTCATGCAAATAACCGACGACCAAATCGAACAATGGACGACGAGTCCGAATCAGTTCGTCGAGGAGGACGACGTATTCGCTTACAACGTTCGCATTTCTGCGCAAGAGTTATTAACGGTACGTAAAGATCGTGGGGCGAAATCGATACGCGGTATATTTTCATCGGTCTTTCTTTATCCTTCGACGTACAGGCGCTCGTTAATTATTCCGAGGAAAAAGCAGTGAACGCGCTTTGCGAGGTAGTGACGCGTCACGTCGAAGCAACGAATAGATTACGAACAGCGAACGACGGAACCGAGAGCAACGAGACGTGGTGGAAACTACGAGAATCTTCGATTTTAGCCTTAAGTAAAATAAAGGATGCCGTCGTTGAGAAACAACAGGCTGGAATGCTTCGGTTCGACATCGTTCGATTTTTAGACACGATCGTTCTAGCTACTCTAAAGGACTCGGGTAAGAAAACCGATTCGAGTATATACGCGTTGATTGGTTGATTTTACGCGTGTACGACGTTAATTTGCAGAAGCATCGTCGCTACTTCTTGGTCGTTGTTTGTGCGTCGGTGGAAAATACGCGGAGATAATGCCACCAGAAATGAGTTCGCGTTTCCTGGAGGCAACAGTTAACGGACTGCAAGAAAATCAACCTGCTTGTATCCGTATCAGCGCGGTAAAGGCCATTTATTGGTTTTGCAAAGCATCGACGACGGAAAGTAACAACACGCTCGGCAATATTATACGATCTCATTTGCCGAACATATTTCAAGGGCTGTTTAATCTAGCCAATCAACCCTCCACCGAAATCTTGACGTTAGTCATGGAAACTTTGCAAGTGTTGGTTCTGGTAATATCGAGCGCAACGATTTTCACCGCATTCGGTAGGTGGTTATCTCGTCGTCTCTCTTCGGCATAACTTTCGTTACTTTCACAGTTGGACAAGGCGTTCACCGGTTCGGTGGAGAACAAAGTGTGTCCGCTGACGATCGCCGTGTTCCTGAAATTCTACAGCGATCCAGTGATATTGGATCTGTGTCAAGACATCTTCAAAAGTTTGACTCAGAATTCCGAGTGCATAGGACCGTTGCAGACTCGTCTGATACCTACGTTGACCAGTATGATGGCCGTAACACCGATGGATAAATCGAAGGACGGTAATGTTTGTTCCATCGTTGGGGAACGCGTAGTTATCGGGCGAACGGTGGGCGAGTATCGTTGAGCGCGTAGGAGAAAATAATTTCAACGTTGTTTTTTTTTTTTTTTTTTTTTTTTTTTTTTTTTTTTTTTTTTTTTTTTTTTTTTTTTTTTTTTTTTTTTTTTTTTTTTTTTTTTTTTTTTTTTTTTTTTTTTTTTTTTTTTTTTTTTTTTTTTTTTTTTTTTTTTTTTTTTTTTTTTTTTTTTTTTTTTTTTTTTTTTTTTTTTTTTTTTTTTTTTTTTTTTTTTTTTTTTTTTTTTTTTTTTTTTTTTTTTTTTTTTTTTTTTTTTTTTTTTTTTTTTTTTTTTTTTTTTTTTTTTTTTTTTTTTTTTTTTTTTTTTTTTTTTTTTTTTTTTTTTTTTTTTTTTTTTTTTTTTTTTTTTTTTTTTTTTTTTTTTTTTTTTTTTTTTTTTTTTTTTTTTTTTTTTTTTTTTTTTTTTTTTTTTTTTTTTTTTTTTTTTTTTTTTTTTTTTTTTTTTTTTTTTTTTTTTTTTTTTTTTTTTTTTTTTTTTTTTTTTTTTTTTTTTTTTTTTTTTTTTTTTTTTTTTTTTTTTTTTTTTTTTTTTTTTTTTTTTTTTTTTTTTTTTTTTTTTTTTTTTTTTTTTTTTTTTTTTTTTTTTTTTTTTTTTTTTTTTTTTTTTTTTTTTTTTTTTTTTTTTTTTTTTTTTTTTTTTTTTTTTTTTTTTTTTTTTTTTTTTTTTTTTTTTTTTTTTTTTTTTTTTTTTTTTTTTTTTTTTTTTTTTTTTTTTTTTTTTTTTTTTTTTTTTTTTTTTTTTTTTTTTTTTTTTTTTTTTTTTTTTTTTTTTTTTTTTTTTTTTTTTTTTTTTTTTTTTTTTTTTTTTTTTTTTTTTTTTTTTTTTTTTTTTTTTTTTTTTTTTTTTTTTTTTTTTTTTTTTTTTTTTTTTTTTTTTTTTTTTTTTTTTTTTTTTTTTTTTTTTTTTTTTTTTTTTTTTTTTTTTTTTTTTTTTTTTTTTTTTTTTTTTTTTTTTTTTTTTTTTTTTTTTTTTTTTTTTTTTTTTTTTTTTTTTTTTTTTTTTTTTTTTTTTTTTCTTTCTTTTGTTGACAGAGAAATGTCGGAACGTAGCTTTGGACGTTCTGCAGGTGCTGGTACAGTACTCACCGCGACCATTGAGCAGCGCGTTGGTCGAAACGGCGTTCCCTGCCGCGTGTCATTGTATTCTGAATTCAGACGACAACGAAACGCTGCAAAGCGGCGGTGAAGTGATACGCACTTACCTGTCGGTGGCCGCTCGACAGGTGATGGAGCATCGGGACAACGACGGGCAAACGGGTTTACAGTACATACTGCAAATAGTCGGGCAGCTGTTGAATCCGCAGGTAAGTTGACCGATCTCGCGGAAAAAAAAAAAACGATCGTGTCTTGCGTTAGTTTTTCTCGAGCGAGAGTGCAGCGATCGTCGAGTGATATTCGATAACGCGTTCGCAGTCGAGCGAGTTTACGGCTACTTTCGTGGGACGGCTGGTGACGACGTTGATCAGGAAAGCGGGTAACACGCTGGGCGAGAATCTCGATCTGTTGTTAAAGGCTGTGTTGAGTAAAATGCAGCGGGTCGAAACGTTGACCGTGGTACAGAGTTTACTCATGATATACGCTCATCTGATAAACACCGAGTTTGACGCGGTCTTAAATTTTCTGTCAACCGTACCGGGCCCGACAGGACAAAGCGCTCTCGCTTTCGTGCTCTCCGAATGGGTCAGCAGGCAACACTTATTCTTCGGTAGATACGACCGAAAAGTGGCAACGGTCGCGCTTTGTAAGATATTAGAGTACGGCGTTACTCACGGCGATAGTCGACTCAACGAAATCACCGTCAAAGGAGACCAGATATTTTCAGGTTCGTATCTTTACACCGTACATTAGCCCACGCGCATATTAGGAACACCGGTAAAAGCGATAAGCGACGAACGGGGAACCGAAGTCGAGGAGAATAATATTTTCAGCGCGCATCATCTCGTTTCGATGTGTTCACCGGTAAGGAAAATAGTAGATCGAATAGCCGCAGAGTGTATCTATAAAATATTTATTCGGAAACAGCGAGTGTCGAACTAAAATTCGAGAATACACAGGAAACGAGGAAGGCGTGAGGACTAGGAGCAAAGCCGAATCACAGCCTTATCAGTGGACCACCGTGCCAGTTTTGGCCAAGATATTCAAGCTGATAATCAACGAATTGTCGAACGACATCGAAGCGGTCGCTGCGAATCAGGAGACGGACGTTAGTAAAAACATGTTTGGTATTCCGATTTACATTATAGATTAAAGTTAAACGAAACACCGTTCCGATCGTTTGTTCGATCACGCAGGAATCCGAGGACGACGAAGAAGGCGACGGTGATAACGTTTATTTGGATCCGGGCTACGAAACCATGCTACGTAAGCGCGAACTAATATACACGAGATCCCGTAGTCGGTAACAGAGCGTGTCGTAACCGTTTTACTTTGTCGAGCAGTGTTGGAAGAAGCCGCGAACGAAGCGGAGGAAGACGAAGACGATCCAGAGTTGTTGCAAGATTCCATATATCATTTGAATCTCAGTCAATACTTGCAAGATTTTTTGTTAAACTTTTCGACCCATCATTGCTTTCCGGCGTACGTCGAGCATCTGAATATTCCGGAACGAAAAGTTTTGACCAGTTTAAATATCAACGTGTCGTTTATGCAGTGAATACGTCGATGAATTACTAGATGGACGATATCGATGATAAGGACGAAAGAGAAAATAGGAAGAAACGTTTGAAAAGGTCGATAATAAAATACGCATTTCTTTGTACGGCCCGTGTGCTTGTATGCTTTACGACGGTCTTCCCAAAAGTCCGCGTCCGTCCACCACGATTTACCACCGTTGCCTCCCGGTCATCGAACGATCATCGAACGATCATCGTCAGGGAAAAATAGTTACACCGGATTACCGACGATCATTATTTTCGCGTAAAATCCATTGTTACATCTATCGTACATATCTACAGAAGCGTACTCGTTTTCTATTCTCCGTCCGCAATAAAGTTTCAGCTCGTGTAAAATAGTCTACTCTTATGCGCGTATACGTATCGTTATACGAAAGATCTATATATATTTACAACCGTTTTTAATATTATCGATAACTATTAAACTACCGTCGTTCATAGTCCGAGCAGTAAAAAGAATATAAAAAAAAAAAAAAAAAAAAAAAAAAAAAAAAAAAAAAAAAAAAAAAAAAAAAAAAAAAAAAAAAAAAAAAAAAAAAAAAAAAAAAAAAAAAAAAAAAAAAAAAAAAAAAAAAAAAAAAAAAAAAAAAAAAAAAAAAAAAAAAAAAAAAAAAAAAAAAAAAAAAAAAAAAAAAAAAAAAAAAAAAAAAAAAAAAAAAAAAAAAAAAAAAAAAAAAAAAAAAAAAAAAAAAGTGGTGTGCTCGCAAGGAGGAACAGGGGCGTGGATCGATCGATCGATCCATATATCTATATACGAAGTGGTAGGAAGCGACCAGGACGAGACAAAGGGAGAAAGGCGAAAGTTTGGGGAAAACGACTCAGACAGTCGTCACCGAGAGAAGACCCATCAGTTTCCCACCGGTTCCCGAACCTGCTGTTCCACCGACTCTGTTTCCATGGACCAACATCTCCTGAACGGTGGTAAAATCATCGAGAGCGTTTTTCTTGCGAGCCATCTTCTTGTGACTAAGCTCCAATATGTTGAACGGTTTCTTCGCGATTTTCTCGTCCCCGTGTTCGCAGATCAGCAACTGGTTGGTCTGCTGCGATTGAAGCTGTTGCTGTTGGTGATGATGTTGCAACATCAGTTCCTGCTGTCTCTGTTTACGCTCGCGAGCGCGTTCCAGTTGCCTTTTCCGTTCCTCCTTGGTCCAGTATCTGCCGATCTGAAACAGAGGAGAGGGAACGCGCGAGTGTCGGCGAGAATCCCGTGAACCGGTGTTCGGTTGCGAAGCAAGCGAGAAAATTCGAGGTGGCTACCTTCGCTTCCGACATGGTGTCGTCTTCCGTGCTATGACCAGCCCGTTCCTCGGATATCTTGATCGCTCTGTTTCTGAGAATGCGATTTCTGACCGGCCTCCTCGCGATGTATCTCGTCCCGTCCGCTCTCCTCTTCACTTTCCATTCCATCTGCACGTCGTTTCCTTTGCCCTCGGGCGGTACCCAGGGGCTCGAAGCGCACACTTGTTGACTTCCGATGAACTGATACCGCGTCAGATTCGGGGCTTGAAAGTTACCGTGAGACCTCGACTTTTTCGCGGTACCGCCGTTGTCCCGGAGAGCGACGACCGTCGAGTTTCTTCGATCGAGCGCTCGTTTGAACAGCTGCTGCTGCAAAAGCATCGTCTGTTGCAGATTCGCCATGTTCGTGTACATGGTGTCGGCGGGTAAGGTGGCGGTAGCGGTAACGGTGGTGGTGGCGACGACGAGAGTGGTGGCGGCGGCGGCGGCGGCGGTGGTAGT